GGAAGATATTTGGGTTGTACACACCAGACCTACGTGTCAGTGTGGTCGGGTTGGAGTCGGACTGGCTTTATGTATGGATGTGAGCAAGTATGCTATGCTTCAGTTTTGTCATTAGGTGTTTTCACGTTGTAGCACAGAGAGAATTAGTAATGGACTATGATGTTTTGCTTTTGATGACTGATTCTGTGCTGGTATGTAGATGGTACTTAGTTGCCACCTACCCATCCATAAGTATCTGAGCAAATGACTGAGTTGTTGTTGCTGTGAGGTCACTCTGGTGAGGACAGCCCCATCCCATCACATCCCAAGCCCCATCAGTCATCCTTCCTTCACAGCGGGTCATCCACTTGAAAGGTATTTTCTCGCCTACTGAAGAACTGGGAAAAAGAACAACACAGGTAGAACAAAGGAGCCCACCAAGGAAGTCGGTTGATGGTCGATGATGGACCCAGTCCCTGTGAATAGCAACAGCAATAGCAACTCCCGATGTGCAATGGTAGCTCATGTGGATGTATCGTAAGTGATGGTGGGATCGAGTGTCTCATGCTACTGCCTTGCTTCCGGTCAAGGACGAGAACACTGATTAACCTCCACTAACATCGTTTAGTCGGCAGTGGCAGTGGCATCCGCATCCATAGCAGTCAGGTTACCATTAGGGATAACCCATCCACCATCAACAGTGCCACCTCCACCCTCAGCAGCAGCATGGGCATCAGGTTCAACCGCATTATCGTCCACAAAAGATCCATTCTCAAGTTTCCGGCAAGCACAACAGGTTTCAAGGCACCATTCAGGAAGTGGCGGCGGGCCGAGATAAGGACATCTGCAATTATCCTCGCAACGCCAGTCGTATACACTGTTAATTATAATGCCAAGGCTGCCGCAGTAGTAGTTGCGTGGGTATGCGTAGCAGTATGATGTAAGACTGTGGTCGCCACAATCCATGTAGTAGACTTTGAGACCAGCCCGGCGCTTTGTCAGGGTCTTGGTATCAATTCTGACCGCATCTTCATCGGAAGGAGCAGCAGCAAGTTCCTTGTCAGGGTTGGCAGTGGCCGAATTGCTAATGTGCTTGTCGAGTTCGACTTTCTGACAGTCAGCGGCAGTCATTTCACTGGAGCAAGAGATCTCCTCACCATCGTCCTCACCATGGCTTTCATTGTGATCCTCACGGTCATTCTCACGGTCATCCTTATGACCCGATTTAGTATGTTCACCAGTCGCTTCAGCGGGAATATCTTTCGCGAGGCCGCTGATACCAGGAATCTCATGGCAGGCCCCATGAATGAAGACACATTGTTGCGTCGAACCAAGAGGGGATATGACTTTGGCCGCGTTGGAAGTTTGACCGGCCTTGAGAGCGGAGCCAATACCTGGTTTTGCACGGTATATTGCTTTGTCCGCCTGTGGACCATAGACGAGGCCGAAGTGAGGGTGGAAGCAGTCAATGAGGGGCCGGTCCTCAGGGCACTGGCGAGCTGTCATGAAATCAGGAGGGACAGGGAGGTTGTCAAGATCGGCTGGCAGAGGCTTGGCATGAGCCACCAGATTTTTGAAGAGAAGAAACATCATAGGGATCATGGTGAAAGCTGAGGACAAGAGAGTCAGCCACATCTCAGTCAAAACTCACCTTTTGAGGGATTGGATCTGAAAATTGACCTACATTTGAGTTCCATGATCAGATGGGACATGGCTCCTGGGCGGCAGCAATGTTCAGACGACAATGTCGAGAGTAGTTGGTTATGAAGCCTATAGATGTCAATACTGAAGGAGCGGGTGTCGTCTTGTTATGAAGAGGTAGAGGTATCGGAATGGCAGGGCAGAGGTGAAAAGTGAGCAGATAATGACAGCGGCAACTGAAGTTGTTGAAGTGAGGTAGCTGAAGACTTACTGTAGATGAGAGTGGGGCTATGCAAGCAAGAGAACAAGTTGATGTTGTTCAAGGAAGAGAGGATGTTGTTGGAGAGAGGGAAGATTGTGAACGGTTGTGGAAGAGGAGAGCAGCCTTCTGTACTATCTGGCAGTCCTTGGCACGAGCTAGACAACATATAAAACAGCTGTCTGGCAGCACAGACACTGCTCTTGCAGAGGAAGTGAATATGTGGCAGGTGCTGCCAGTAGGAGGGTTTCTGAGTCTGACGTAACCAGACTGAGCACACCTGCACAAGTTTTCAAGCTTGGGAAGGCACGCCTTCAAAAAGAAACCGCCCTGTGCGAACGCTGTGACCCGCAGCAATCAGTTTGTTGCAGTCTGCATATCAACAGGAACTGTCTAGGGGGGGCTAGAACGGTCAGATGAGGGAGCACAGAGATTTAAAAGGCACCGTGGAGGGTGAGACTGGGGAAGTGAGCACTACCCATCACCAGCGATGGAGGAATAGAGGAAGACCTGTGGCGTTAGTTCATGTAACTGTCCAAGTCATCATCACCCACGATCAGAACCAGTGGAAAAAGAAGAAGGGTCATGTGTATCTACCTCTGTGCTTTTGCAGGCTCATCAGTCATAAGTAAATGCTTCATCCTTCGTCCTCGCTGCTCCACTGTCCTGCCCCTGTTTCTCAGATCCCGGCCTTGTGCTTGAAAGCAGCAAGGAGGCCACTGGTGGATGAATCATGCTGGCCAGTAGCATCGGAACTCTCAAGCTCTGCTTCGATCTTCTTCGCCAAGACCTTGCCAAGCTCCACGCCCCATTGGTCGAAGCTGTTGATGTTCCACACCGCACCCTCGGTGAAGGTGACATGCTCATAGTAGGCAATCAGCGCACCAAGAGTGGCCGGGGTCATCTTCTGCGCCAAGATGGAGGTGGTTGGCCGATTGCCCAAGAACGTCTTGTGAGGGACCAATTCATCTGGAGCACCCTCAGCCTTGACCTGTTCTTCCGTCTTGCCAACCATCAGGGCCTCAGCCTGGGCAAGGAAGTTTGACGCAAGCATCTTTTGATGCTTGCCGCCTTGGACTGGATTGTGCGACTCGGCCGCCATGATGAAATCAGTCGGGATAAGCTTCGTGCCCTGGTGCAATAATTGGAAGAAGGAATGTTGAGCGTTGGTGGCAGGCTCGCCGAAGAGAACGGCTCCGGTTGTATACTTGACGTAGCCTCCAGATCTTGTGATGGCCTTGCCATTGGACTCCATGGATAGTTGCTGTAGGTAAGCTGGGAAGCGGTGAAGATATTGGTCGAAGGGAGAGACCAGATGCGTTTGAGCGCCATAAAAGTCGGAATACCAGACGCTGAGGAGACCCCCAATGACCGGAATGTTCTCCTCCAATGGCGTCTTCAAAAAGTGTTGATCCATAGCTTGACCACCGGCGAGGAATTGCTGGAAGTTCTCATACCCGATGAACAGACAGACGGACAGGCCAATAGCAGACCAGACCGAATAACGTCCACCAACCCACGACTCAAATCCGAACATATTTGCAGGATCGATGCCGAACTTCTCGACTTCCTCCTTGTTAGTCGAGAGGGCCACGAAATGCTTGGCGATGTCCTTCTCCGACGCCGACTTTAGGAACCATGACTTCGCACTATTGGCGTTGGTGATGGTTTCTGCTGTAGTGAAGGTCTTCGACGCAATCAAGAAGAGGGTAGTCTCGGGGTCGGAATCTCGTAAAGCCTCAGCAATATGAGTGCCGTCAATGTTCGAAACGAAGTGCAGCTTCATGTCTCGGTTTCCATAGGGCTTCAAGGCCTCCGATACCATCACTGGGCCACTGGTGAGATGTTAGTAGATAGTACGGTTGCTCTTCAAGTGGTGCCCTCGTACAGGTCAGAGCCACCAATACCAATATTGATAATGGTTGTTAGTGGCTTGCCAGTATATCCCTTCCATGAGCCACTCCTGACCTGCTCAGAGAATTCCTTCATATGCTCAAGGACAGAATGTGTATCTTCCACCACACTCTTTCCGTCAACCTGCATCGGGTGTTTGGCCACATTTCGAAGTGCAACATGATATACAGCCCTCTTCTCGGTGAAATTGATCTTCTCACCAGCGAACATAGCATCCCGTAGTTTTTCGACACCGGCTTCCTTGGCCAGATCGATGAGGAGCTTCAGTGTTTCCTCGGTCAGAAAGTTCTTGGAGAAGTCGAACAAAATCTCGGAATTGTCAGCAGTGTTGTGGAAGGAGCGGCTGAATTTTTGGAAGCGATCTGGATCTTGTTCAAAAGCCTCTTTGAGTACAATATTGCGGCCTAGAGTATTATGGTGCTCCTGAAGAGCTTGCCATGCCTTCAGGTCGGAGGCTTGAGCAAATTCGGCCATTTTGGTGAACCTGAGGCTATTAGCGGCTGGCTCTGAGAGAACCGGTTGTTATGCGAAGTCTGCGCAAGGTAGAAAGGAGGCGAGAGATTGTCTACACCTGGGTGTCTACTCACCTATACACTAGTTGTCTTAGAAAGCTTCAAGAACTCGACAAGAGTCTGAACGAAGTGGTGTACAATTGCTGTTGCGAGCTGGGGTTGCGGAAGAGACGGAGCAAGATGATTTGTGTGAAGTTGAGCTCAAAGAGGGGCAAAGGTGCCCCTCCACCATTGACCCCCGGACTTTTATGTACCTTTTCCTTTTCATTGGGACAAGTGCCTCATAAATTTGTCCGCTGAGTTATCTGTATGAAGCGGAGCTTTTCTAAAATCTGCCTTGTACATACAAAGATGCCGCAGTAACATGGTTGCCAATAGCGGTGAATGAGAAGCGCAGGTCAAGTGGGACAGCATAATGTTGTCGTTTGCTTGACACTATCCTAGGCTTCATATCCAATAAAGCGCTTCCTTTCGCGCAACTTGAAGGATCAACTCTCAAGGAGTCAGAAGACCGTCTGATAGATAGTATCACCAGTCGGTCATAGATTCAGATAGTCCCAAGCACGGTCCGCTTCTGCGGGCGAACAGCGGACACTATTCTTCCTACATTGATCTCGTAAGCTTTCTCTCTCTGGAAACAGCATTGCAGAGCGAAGCCATCTCCTCAAGCCAAGCGAGCTGCTGATAGACCATAACCAACGAACTTGACAAGGTGGAGTATCAAGTTTCGAGGACTAGCACAGCCGTCTCAAACGCCGTCCGAGACGTGTTCGTGGATGGGGTATACTGCGTAGCATATTCATTGCCTGAGATTGAATATTGCAGCGAGAAGTAGAACTTGGTTCAGAATATAATGAAGCCCACATTCAGACGAGTTACCTATATAAACGAGTGATGCGAATTTGTAGGTAGCAAATGTCGTGTAATCGCTGATTCAAAATGAGTAGTATAAGAGAATGATTCTTCGAGAATTGGGACATATCAGGCGATCACTCCAATAACGGCGCCCAAGTGACGGTGCCTGAATCCGATGCACTGGACGCAATCCGAGCAGCGTAATTATGACGAAGAAAGATATGCTCCTTGCAGTATCAGTAACTTGAATTGCAACCATCTCCAAGCCTTGACCCCCATTCCATCATGTCCTGGCTGCCCATCGAGTACTCCAACATCCGTTATACATGAGTAGAGATATGCCTTAGGTAACATTACATAATAATCAATAGAAGATTCGTACAGAGAGCCGATACGAACCTCAAGATTCAAACAACGCTACTTTGCACCCGACACCACTGGCCAATGTCAACGAGCTAGACGCACACCACTCCCGCTCGTCACGAGGCTCAATACGTGAGAAGGCCTGCATCAGCCTGATCGTTGCATAGCTTGCTTCGGTGAGTGCGAATTGCTGCCCAACACAGATTCGTGGGCCGCCGTTGAAAGGCAAGTACTCCCAGCCATGTCTAAGCTTCTCCCACCGCTCTGGCCTAAACTCATCGGCGTCCTCCCCATAGAGATCTTTCCGCTTGTGAAAAGTCCATGAGTGGTACACGACGATCGAGCCTTTGGGAACCAAGGCAGGAGCCTTGCCGTCGGCACCACCTCCAACAGGAATCACAGTATCACGGACCGCAACTCGTCCATTTGCAGGGACAATTGGCATGAGCCGGAGACACTCGTTCAAGACCCATCTGAGATATTTCATATCCTTGATTTGTGCATATGTAGGTGCTTCTCCCATGAGTGTATCAACCTCAGCTCGCAATTTGGCCCAAATATCGGGACGACGAGCGATCGTATGCCATGTATTTGCCAAGAGACCTGCAGTTGAGTCTCTACCAGCGAGTAAAATATTGAGCAATTCAGATCTAAGAGTATCTGGATCTTGGGTCTGCTTGATCAGCTCGTGTAGGAATACGTAACGCTCGTTGCCACATGTAGTTCCTGGTTTGGCTGACTTCTCCATGTCAGCTGGATGCAGACGAATGGTTTCTTCTCGGATGATGGAATCGGCGAAAGCATGCACAATATTCTTGCTCTTATGCCATCTTTTGTCAGGTATCCAACGACTGAGACCAGCAGTCCGTATCTCCGTCCCGATCGACTTGGTACAGTACTCAAATCTTCTCAAGTCAGCCCGGTTCATCATCAAGCATAGAAAAGGGTATACGAACGCTTTGACAAATTCAGACGCCGATTGTGTCTTCAAACCAGGTGCCAGGCAAGCAGTAGACCTCCCAAACAGGAACTCGGTTGCCGAATCCATGGTCAATGAGAAAAACAATGGCTGGAGGTCCACAGTGGAGCCGTCCCGAGGTATAGCGCTGATAAAATGCTGTATATGTGTCTCAAAGGTATCAAGATCAGCCACCTGAGTCTTTGTGAAGCTTGGACGGATCAGAGCCCTTGACCGCTCCCATGCAGCTCCGTTCGAGGCAAATATACCGTGACCCAGAGATGGCACAATTGCATCAAGGCGTCTTTGGGCCAGCTCAAAGTCATGAAACTTGGTCGACAACATCGTTTTGACAATTTCTGGCTCAGCAGTTTGAATGACTGGTAATATTAGTACCTGATTGTAACTCTGCTAAGTTGGAGCGCCCAAAGAACAGCGATCCTACTCATAAGGTGGCTTACGCTCAATACCCATGCTAGTTGTCTGAACGGTGTTTCGCTCTGCAAACAATCTTTGCCTGACTCCTTCGAATGTTCTTCCCAGCTTATCATCTTTTATCTGCTGCTGTATTAGATCAAGACCCAAAAGCTTCCCAAGAATGCCTTGATGGCGCCAGTGATAGACGGGTTCACAGCCATTCTCTTTGATGATCGCACGCCTTGCAGCACCTGTGGTCAATTCGTAATATATGCGCTTGATGGCAACGAAGACAACGAGATAGCCGACAAGGTTTATCCAGGACAATGCACTTATTGGAAACATCATGATGGGAAACTGTCAAGGGGTGGAGAACAGAAATCTGTCAGGAGTAGCAACCAAAGCTGGGCAGGCTTCGATTCTTGAACAGCTCGGCGTGCCATGTCTTTAAGGATAGTTTTGAGCCGCTGCGGATCAATTCGGCCGGTAGGCCAGATCTTGCTTCCTTGTGAACCCCGTATAGCTAGGAGGAGACCGGAACGGTGGTCAGTCTCAAAGCTCGCACGGCTCACATAGCAAGTGCTTCGAATTCCTTGCAACATGCTGGAGGGGCGCTGCCAAGAATAGAAAAGCCGAGGTCCAAGCACACGGGGCAACAGGAGCTGAATGTCCTACACGTTGGTGTGACAAATGTTATTAGTTACACGGTACGAGTGGGTGACTGGGGAATACGAGTGGGAAGCGCGCTTGCAGTCATGTTGCTGGCTGTAAGTTAGTTAGGTGGAAGAGATCTGAACCAAATTGGTACAGCAGTTCGGTTTTCTCCGAACATTTTCATCCTCATGTCAGATCGACTAGCGCGCTTACATCGGCCTCAAAAACACAAGTATAAACACTGCGAGTGCACTGGGCATCTATCAAAACCCATGGCTCTTCACTGGTGTAGCCATAAGTCTATCAGGAAGGCAACGAATTCTGACATGTCCTCTGTATAAAACAAAGAGATCTCATCCGCCAGTTCACGAGAGCACCGCTTTAATGCAACATATTTGAATTACTGTACCAAAATTAAATATATCTATTTTTCAACCGCTTGCCATCTAAATACTCCTACTCGGACAGTGTTTAAGCAAGCACCAACCTCTAGTGAGTAGTATCGTCTCTAGAGCATTGGCCTGGTCGTTCGTCTGTTCATATATTCGGGCTCAGAAGGTCGTACTTGACACATCTCTCCACACTCTCGGCGCTTGCTTGGAAGAACCTTCTTGCCTCCAGTCCCACCCAGATCTTTAACAGCGAGAAGTCTCGTTCCTTGATGCTCTTGATTACGCTGCTGGGGTTGCTGCCACCGAGCTGCCTCAGTATGGGAAGTGCGCTCTTGAACAAGTCTAGATCTGGTTCCAGACTCCTGCCAATCCCTTCAAGTAGGAGAATGGAAATGACCACGTTGACGAAATCACCTTCCATGCGAACATGATGTGCTCTCACCATCGCTAGTACCTCAGATAGCACGTCTCCAATCTTGATATTGCCCAATGCAAAAGTTCTGCCTTTGACGGCAAGGACTAAATGCTGCATCTTCAATGCAAACACTTCACCGTCCACTACCGCCTCAGGTTGTCGACATCTTTCAATCATAAGTTGCCCAGCTCTGTAGCCATCGAACTCTGCAACAGCCCGAAAAAGGTCGAGAAAATTCTGACGATTTGTTGTATTGAGCTCTGTGACCAGGCCAGTATCGATGAAGATCAGCTGCGGACGATAGCCATCCTTGTCGATTTCCGAAAGTGCAGTTGTCCATTCGGACTTGTTGTGGGTGTAGGGCCGTAAGCGAGAGAGCACAGACTCAACCTCGTCGATCGTAGGTGCATCCGGAGGTGATGCAGGATTGTGCTTCTTCCTGAGCGGTAAATCCGGCTTCGACGGCTTGTAGAAGCGGACCATCATGTTCCCAGGGTGTAGGTCGGCATGAACAAAGTTATCAATCAAAAGCATATGCAAGAAGGCGTCAAGGCCTTCGTCAGCAATCTCTTTTTGAAAGACACCACCACCTGATTGGAGAAAGGTAGCTAGGGGAATGCCTTGTGCGAACTCTTCAACGAGTACCTGACGCGTTGTAAATTCTGTATAAGGATAGGGGAACCAGGCCGTCGTGCGGTCTTGAAAATGCTTCCGGAATATGGCGAGGTTTGCAGCCTCAATGCGCAAATCTAATTGGAGGCGCATCATTTCTCCAAACTGGGCAACTTCATCTGGAAGTGAGAGCCATTGCATAGTGGGAAGAGCGTTGATTATGGCTGCGAAGACACCCATTATGCGAAGATCCCGACGGACAATTCGCTCAACATTGGGATGTAGCACTTTGATGGCAACGTACGAAGAGGGAATTCTCTGAGGGGAACTTTTGACCAGGGCGTCAACGCTTTTGCGTACTTTCTGTCGAAGACTCCGCGGTCTTTCCCCGGAGATGGCTTCGTCTCCAGGGGGCGCGAGATCTGGTTTCAATCTTGCCTTGTAAACTTGTGCAATGGCTCCCACGCCTAGAGGTTTCTCCTGGAACTCCTCAAAGATCTCCTCAAAAGGCCGGCCGCCAAAAGCTCTTACAATAGTTCGCTTGGTAGTGCCAAGGGAATGAGCTGGCGCATTCGAATGTAAAGAGGACATGACACTACACATTTCGTTCGGGAAAATGTCTGTTCGAGACGCTGCCCATTGTCCAAGCTATGCATGCACGTCAGTCCATGAAACGAGCGAAGCAAGACCAGTTGGCAGACCTTGATGAACGCGGGTCCAGCCCGCTCCATTGCTTCTACAAGAAAACCATACCACCACAGTGTACCACTCCTCTCGTTATCTCTTCCCCTCTGCCTCTTTCCTACCCATACGGCAGGAACTGTGAAGATGACAGGAACGAATATGACAACAAGGTGCAGGAATCGCAGGCTAGTTGCAATTGGCTCGTAGACGTATAGATCGAGGAACACCCATATGCTCCTAAAGATCCTTTTCATGCCATGCAAGTCATCTGGTATCTTCTTCTCAATCTCCTCCCTGGAAGCCTCGAGCATCTGCTCTTCGCCACTTTTGCCATCTTTATGGTCTCCTTCATTAAGCCTGATGAATGCTGCTGGACTAAGAGTCGCAGCCAGAAGCAGAGGGCGGCCCGTTCGCTGTCCTCGCCAGCGGTTCCGGAGGCTGTATCTTCGTATCCAGTGGGAAAACGATTGTTGTCTGTAAGCAAAGGTGCGGAGGGTTAATGCTGAAGCGCGAAAGCAACTGCGGCTCGGAACAAAGCCTGCTCTCATCGTCTGGTTGTCATCGAGTATCCAGCACGTTCAAGGCAACGCCTCGCGACCAAAGTTGTTGCACGAGGTGATCCTCGAACTTTTGTTGCGGGCAGTGACGAAGCCTAGCTTGTGACGCAAGAATAAAATGCCCAACTCACCACTGGGCGTTAGAACCCGTTGTCTACCCAAGTTAGGGGCCTACCCACCCTACAAGATGAACTATTTAGTTGTATGCGCGGTTTGCGTTACAGTGTCAGCATTAAGTTGGCTCTTCCCCAAGGATATGTTTGCTGCTTTCATCTTTGAAATTCAAGAGGCAAATCTCACTTTGAGAAGTAAGTAAGTAAGAACCCTGGGAGCCGTTCTGTGCATTCTTGTCATGGTCTTACCACTCCCCGTTTCTCAATTAAATCGAACAGACTGATCTGGTTACGTTGCCGCCTCAGGCAGCTGTCCTAGGCCTGAATGTTGATTACTACCACGAGTCTGAGCTGTTTTCCTGTCTGACATTTAGAGGGAATGTTACCTAATTGGAAGGCATGCTATTCGTATTTGATCCAGATATCATACACACTTGAGGCAAACGCTTGCATCAATCCCTATACTCAACTAGACATATGGGCCCAGCGCTAAAACGAGTTTCCTTGTGCCCATATCGTGCCATACTCGAATAACAGACTCATTACCTGAGGTCCAATGCTGGGAAGGTTTGTCGATCCATTAGATTAATACTATACTCAAAGATGCCCTCTTCGGTTCCAACATATCTGCAATAACGTATAAGTCAGTAAACTTCAATTGATCAAAAGAGGAAGAGGGGACTCACAGGTTTCGGCCGTCGCTGCTCCAGCCTATCCCAGCAGTTCCGACCCCTATTTCTCTTTCAGCAGCACCTCCGCCTACCCCGTTGGCATCATCAATGCTAGACCGACCCAGGATCCGTTCCAATGCTGCACTAGCCATCCAATTGCCGTTCCCATCCAATGTGTTGCGAGCACTTTGCATAATCCTCTGACGTGCGAAAGTCAGTTCTGCAGACGTCGCCCGGCCCGTCAACTCTGACCTTTGCGTGCCAGCTGTCCTAGAGACTGCAGGAGGTGGAGAAGCCGACTGTTCTAGCTCCCGTGCTGCCAGGCGCTGACGGGCTAGAATTCGAGCCTCTAGTATTCGAAGGTGTCGTTCGTCGTCTTCAAGTGCCCTCGGCCTAACATGCCCTTCCCGTGACTCAAGGTCGACAGTCGTTGAGGCTATGCGACGGAGTTGACGTTCTGTTTCCAGTTCTGACAAGGGGGCTGCGCGTCGAAGGAGATTTGGATTGGCCTGGAAACGGGACCTTGTCTGTGAGTGAGTCGGATTGAAAGTGGTGGGGAGAGTGGATGTGTGTGCCGAGATATGAGCACTAGGCTGAGAATCTGGTGGAGGTAGACGACTACCTGCATCATTCTCCGTCACATCGCTAGCATCATTATGAGAAGCTGGTGGCGTAAGTCGAGGATTTGAAACTGTTGGCTGGGAAGTGGTTCGAGTAGGGGGACCAAGTGCCGACTGGATGACATGCCATGGGTCAGATGGAGGGATGCTATCAGGCACTGGTTGGGAATCAGATCCGCTAGCTGTGGGGTTGAGGTCGTCCGTTGACATGGCAGAAGGCAGCGTCGAACGGTCAGCATCTACATCGGCGTTCGCCATCCGTGCTGGCGAAGCAGTGAGCCGTGATCTAGATATAGAGCCAGGCGCTAGCCTCGATGTACCACTTGTGCCAGAGCCTGTTCCTTGAGACAAAACAACAGAGTTGCGACGCCGTGGCTGGTACTGGCGGTCCCCACCACGGACGCGCTGCAGATTTCGTTCCCGAAACACATCAATCAGAGATTCTAATTGAGCTCGTGAGGGGCTTCGTTCTTCATTTTCAAGTAATGTTCGCAGATGGGGAGACGCTCTGTAATTGACACTGTACGGGCTCTGTACGCTTTCAATGGCGTCGTCAACCTCCTCCATTGTCACCTCTAAGGTATCGAGCACTGACTGCTCGCGAGCGTCAAGATCAGCTAGTCCCATACGTCGTGACCCGTGTCTTTGTAAAACAGCTCCCTCAGACCAGTCTTCTGGAGCGCCAAGCAGAGACTCGTCATTAGTTCTAGCACCCTCTGGTTGAAAGTTCTCCTGGTACTGACGGATCAGGCGACCGCGGAAATCAAGACCTTTGACATATGGATCGGTCGCATCTTCAAGAATAATTCTCTCCAGATCCGGAGCATGTGTTTCCAATGTAATAATCTGCCGGCGACAAAAGGCTTGTCGGACGTCAGCGATGCCTACCCGGCCATGGTCTTCAGCCCACACCAAAAGATCCCATGGAGCTGGAGAGAAGGCCATAGACCGGACGCAGCCACAAATACCAGACCGAGAAGATACAAACGAGCAAATCATAGCACTCGAGTAGGATTCGACATCACTGTCTGCGAGTTTGCAGATAGTGCCCATATCGAAGACTGAAATCATGCCACCTTGAGCAGAGATAGCACACAAGTCTCCGGAAGGTGAAAACGTGACGGAGAAGCTGTAGTCATCGTTGATACGCTCCCCTTGAGCCAACTTCGGCTTGGCCAGCACTTCCCATTCATACTCGGGGAAACGATCTTGAGACGGCGTCTTTGCATTGACCAGTTTTCTTCGATAGAAATAGGCTTGATTTGAATCTCCCACTGCCACCAGGATTTCCGAGTCTGGCGATATCAGAGCATAGTTCACTGGAAAGGGAAGCTGCAAATCGGCTATGAGTTGTTGCTGTAACAAAGAATAGATCTTGACAGTTCTGTCGTTGTTGCTGATCAACGTCAGCGTGGAGGGGTCCTCATGCGGGCCATACGTAGCTCACCTCAGCAGTGCCACAGGTTCATCCCAGGTCGACTTCCCATGATTGGACAGCTCGTGAAGTGTGATTGAGTTGACGATCTTGCTTCCGAGCTCTTGCAGAAAAAGCTCCGGATAGGAACTTGAACCTGTGTCATTCTGTCCTAGACCTGGCAAGATCTTCCTAGTCGTCCTCCGTGGCGAATCAGGTGGGGAGACAGGATGTCCTTGCGAGCGTGTCTCAGCTTGCTCTTTGTCTAGTCGAATGAAGGCACAGTCTCCATTCTGCTCGCCACCAAGGCAGATCCATCCCAGGCCTGCAACAAGACACCTAGGTAAAAAGGGAAGCGTAACAAGTATGTATTTGCGCTGTGAAGGCAGATGGAGAGCATAGATATCGTAGCTACTGGCGAAGTAAATCCAATCTTGATCGACCGTACTGATGAAATGCCTGAGCTGAGGATGTCTATATCACGCTGTCTGTCAGACGTACGAGGGGCTTAGGGGATGGGGACTGCATACGGAACACGGATATCGAGAGGATAGAATTTCGTCTTAGTTGTTCGGATGAGCGACTGAGTGGAGTTGAAACTGCCTGCATCAGCAATACTTAACAGAAGGTGAGGATTGGAGGGCTTACTATTGAGGGGAGATCGCCATGCTTTGAGGCGGGGTTTCGGGTGTGATTGCTGCTGTAGACCAGTATGAAAAGCTGCTTGACTGCTCGCAACACGTTATTCAGACGCCTAGAATGTCAATGCTCCATGGATGTGAGAAAGGGACCTCTGTGATCAATGGCAGTAAGTTAGTGGGGGGGGGGAATAGTGTTGCACCGATACTCTTCATCTGCAATGCCCTCGCGACCACTGCTTAGCTACTGACGTACTGGCACTAACTTAAGTATTAACTACTACTACTAGTTAACTAGCAGTTGATGCTTTTCTGTAGGCGGGCAACTGTGAAATGCGCTAGTTATGTAATTGGCTGGGCTTACTAGCCCCATTGAGAGGCGGCGACCGGAAAAAAACCTTCTACTCTTACGATGCGGCAAGATCATCATCGACAATTCTCTCTGCGCGTATCATCCATTCATTCTAACCACCATCCGTCTCTCTCACTCACCGCTCCTAATCTCTCAATACGGTTGTGAACATACGCTGAAAATGTTGGCTTCTAAGTTCTCGCGAGCTGTAGGTCTGACCATTTGGCGTGCTTCTTTGAGATGTCCTATTCGTGGCTAACCCCCTACAGCTTCCGCGAAGCTCTCCCATCTCGAGATTGTCCAAATTCCAGAAGCCTACCTCATCATTACTCTCTCGGTATGCTACAACAGGTGCAGCAGGTGGGGAGGAGAAGGTTAAGGGGCAGGTCATCGGTATAGATCTGGGTAAGCGATATGCTTCTGGGACCTGGGCTCCTACTTGAATGCACTAGAAGCGCTAACAACTGCTGCTTTTAGGCACAACCAATTCAGCTGTAGCTGTGATGGAAGGAAAGCAACCAAGGATAATAGAAAATTCAGAAGGTTGGTGATATGTCTTATTATTGTCCACTTTTTTTCACGACTGACCGGACAATCAGGCGCGCGAACAACACCATCCGTTGTCGCATTCGCCCAGGATGGCGAACGACTCGTCGGTATATCTGCCAAGCGACAAGCTGTCGTTAATCCGGAGAACACACTATTTGCCACCAAGCGTCTCATCGGCCGCAAATTCTCAGATCCAGAAGTCCAACGCGATATCAGGGAAGTGCCGTACAAGATTGTGCAACACACCAACGGTGATGCCTGGGTTGAGGCTCGAGGACAGAAGTACTCACCATCACAAGTTGGTGGCTTCGTGCTGCAGAAGATGAAGGAAACCGCCGAAGCATATCTGAGTAAACCAATCAAAAATGGTGTGGTCACTGTGCCCGCCTACTTCAATGACATGCAACGTCAAGCAACGAAGGACGCAGGCCAAATTGCCGGGCTCAACGTTCTCCGAGTCGTCAACGAGCCCACAGCCGCAGCTCTTGCCTATGGCTTGGAAAAAGAGGACGATCGAGTCATTGCGGTCTACGATCTTGGAGGAGGTACCTTTGACATTTCGATTCTCGAGATTCAAAAGGGTGTTTTCGAGGTTAAGTCAACCAACGGCGATACACATCTTGGAGGAGAAGACTTCGACATCACACTCGTCCGCCACCTTGTACAACAATTCAAGAAAGACTCTGGCATTGATCTGTCAAACGACCGAATGGCTATTCAGCGGATCCGTGAGGCAGCTGAGAAGGCCAAGATCGAGCTGTCGTCATCTCTACAAACTGATATCAACCTACCTTTCATTACTGCCGATGCCTCCGGACCGAAGCACATTAATCAGAAACTCTCCCGAGCTCAGCTTGAAGGTCTTATTGACCCACTGATAGCAAAGACCATCGATCCCGTCCGAAAGGCATTGAAGGATGCGAACCTACAGGCTAAGGATATCCAAGAAGTTATACTCGTTGGTGGAATGACACGGATGCCGAAAGTAACCGAGTCTGTTAAGAGCATATTTGGTCGGGACCCGGCGAAGTCTGTCAATCCTGATGAGGCAGTTGCCATGGGTGCTGCTATCCAAGGTGCTGTTCTTGCTGGTGAGGTTATGGATGTTCTGTTGCTCGATGTGACACCATTGTCGCTTGGTATTGAGACACTAGGCGGTGTCTTCACACGCCTGATCAACCGGAACACCACTATCCCAACGAAGAAATCGCAGACCTTCTCCACTGCTGCAGACTTCCAAACCGCGGTCGAGATCAAGGTGTACCAGGGCGAGCGAGAGCTGGTTCGCGACAACAAACTTCTTGGTAATTTCCAGCTGGTCGGCATCCCTCCCGCACATCGTGGCGTGCCCCAGATCGAGGTTACGTTCGACATTGATGCTGATTCGATAGTTCACGTGCATGCCAAGGACAAGTCTACTAACAAAGATCAGTCAATCACCATCGCATCTGGCTCCGGTCTTTCAGACTCTGAGATTCAGAACATGGTTGACGACGCTGAGAAGTATGGTGCTCAAGACAAGGAGCGTAAGGCTGCGATTGAAGCTGCCAACCGTGCTGACACCGTCCTGAACGATACCGAGAAAGCACTCAAGGAATTTGAGGGTAAGCTGGACAAGGCTGAGGCGGATGCCATTAAGGAAAAGATTGCCAGTCTGCGGGAATACGTGGCCAAGAACCAGACTGGAGAGGGAGGCGCAACGGCAGAAGAGCTGAAGGCCAAGATCGATGAGCTACAGACCACCGCTCTTACTCTATTTGACAAGATGCACAGAGCGCGGGCGGAGGAGTCTTCGCAATCACCACCAGGTGGCGAGACTCCACCAAATGCTGGTGAGCAGCAAAGTGGTGAAGGGGAGAAGAAGCCTTGAGCACCGGTGTTAAAAAATTTGCTGGGTTTCTCTTTTGCCTGTTTTGACACTCTTGGTGGCATTGACCTGCAAGCGTTCCTCTCTCCATGTCACACCTTCCGGACTTGTCATCTTGCTTTACAATACTCCCTTTTGTGAGAGGTGAGATGAGCAAGGTTCAGCAAATCAAATGGGAAATGGGAAATGGGCGAAGGAAGCGCAGTGTAGTGCTTGTGCAAGATCCCGCATGTAATTACCATAGCCGCTGCTAGGTGTGTGTTCGAATAGAATCTCCTCTCCCGTTGTCCACCATTGGTTTGCTTTTTGCTTAGTTCGTTTGGTTGTCGTCATTGTGCCCCAATTGGCATCCTGCGAAGAAAATTTTCATTAAGGTTGATATGCAGCCAATGACAGATAGCGGAATAGACTGAAGTGTATTCCGGGCAGTGATGCAGATTGCGAGCGTTGGGGTAATTTGTGGCCCCTGTTGGATAACGCAGGCATACAGCCTATAGGCGGTCGGCGATGGTCGATTTAAGGCGGCCGCTATGGCCGAAGACAGGCAGTCTTAAAGGCGTGGCTGGGTATACTACTAATCAACTAGGACTAATAAGACTGGCTATCCGGATAATCGAGTACGTAGCTCAATAAACTGCCCATCGCGCTGCACCCAGTAGGAGGAGGGCTATCTGATACCTTAATCTTGGGCCGTGTAGGCCGTGCTGATGCTCGTACTTTAGTCATATGCTGAACCTTCGGTTGACCGGGTTGGCTGAGATGAATTAACCTAGTTGGTTGGGCATTTCTCATGTGCCACAAAGACTGTTCGTCTTCGCCTCTTGCCTTTCAAATCTTTTCATCCATGTCCACCGGTCCGCCATCGCCCACTGATAACACATTACATGAGCAGGAGACTACCCAAACCTCATCCCATATTCTGTCGCTGTATAGCTTCTCCTGTTCGGAACAGCCTGTGTATCTTCGCACTGCTTGCTGGACCTTGCGCGTTCTGGTGACGCTCGTTGATTGGATTGGGTTGTTTAGCGAAGGCCCCTGCATTCTAGCAGTTGCGGCCGCTATCACCCAGAAGTTTTGAACGTCGCGCAAAGCCGGTATGTAAAACTGTTCATATCTTCATCTTTACTCTCCTTAGATGAGATTATCCTTGTGTTCTGCTCCACTTTCAGCTTGGATAGGCATCTGCGCCATTGTCTGGCCCTCATAGTACTGCTCTTTAATGCAATTGCGGGTGGCCAAGGCGCCCCCACTGGCGGTCGGGTCAATCAATTTTGAATCCAGTCTTCCATACCCTTCTTTTCCACTGTCGCCACCACCACCACTACCACCACCAAAGTGCTTCGTGCAATCCACAATCTTGTGTTCCCTATTTCTCAAGCCGCGAAAAATCCCTTTTCGGACATTTTTCACGCTCTCATCACGTGCCGGCCGGGTGTCGACACCCTGCATTGTATAGACAATGGCACAATATAATCTCCGCAAACATCCCGTAAATCTTCCCAGAAGAAGTTTCTTCGCGTTGCAGTTATATCTACGCCATTGAAATCGATTTTATAGCCTTTGCTGACTATGTGGACACGGCAGAAGAGGAATCAGCACAAGACGACATCTTCCATGAATAAGGCAGAGAAGCCGGATATGGATAGCGTCAACTTGCAACAGCCGAGTGAAAAGCCCTTTGCATCAACTGTGATCGGCCCCAATGAAGAAGACTCGGGTAGTGACGTTTCTGCATCACCATCAGATGTAGAGAATTCTTTCAACACTGTACGACAATCCCCAGCTGGGCCGAACCACAGATCAGCCTCCACTCCTGATACCAACCCCCCTCTTCAGCCGGAGAGTCTAAGTGCAATCAAGCAACGCCTTGCCGAGTTGGATGCTGTTGATGATGTATTAGTCACCAGAAGGAACAAGCTAATTGCTAAACGTGAGCGGAAGGATGAAAGAATCCGGAAGAGATTGGCGGCAGAGGATGCAAGGGTCAAAAGGCAACGGGACGAAGAAGACGCTCGTCGTACTCAATCTCGTAGAGCAAAAGAGGAGCGAATTCGTAAACGACGAGAAATGGAAGACGCGGAGTATCGGCAAAAGGAAAAGGCGCACGATGACGAAGAGGATGAACTTCGACGCAAGCTCAAGAACCTCAAACGAGGTCGTCCAGTGGACGATGAGGTCACGGAAACCCGTCGTGCCAGCACGGTATCAGAGTCTATGTCTCCACCAGCGAAGAAGCATCAACCAAATCCTGCACCAGTTCAGGCGCTGAACTCGCCCTCGAGACCTAACGCAATGCAGCCTTTGCAATCTCCCCAGCAAGATCAGCAGCCAAAAGCCCAGTACCCGTACTATTACAGTTGGCATCCTCCCCCCATCGCTGGACCTTATACGTATGGGCCCGGCGAGACCTATCCACCCCAGAATCAATCCCACCCACCACAGCATAACCATTTACAATCATCTCCGTTGCCAAATGGCGGTCGGCCTCCATTTAATCCTCCTGCCCCACCTCCTAGACATGGTCCATCTCCTAAACCAACTACACCACTTTCTCACGCTCAGTCACCTCGCCATCAAGCCCCGGCGCCTGCGCCACCGCCACCACCCCCTCCACCTCCACCACCAGGTCCATCACACTATGACGTTCGCCCTCCTCCAGCTACCTCAACTTTTACATCTATCAATGCCCCGCCTTCAGGCTTTCCATCTGTCAATCAACCTCCTCCCCAGACCATAAGGACACCCATTCAGCCGGCCTCTAAAACAAAACGCGGACATCAATCGTCAGCCAAAGCTCAGGCTCTTGCACTTGAAGCGGGTACGGACCATTCACCATCTCACCCGCCGATTAGCAGTCCACCAGCTTCAACTCCAACCCTCGGGGGAAAGCGGAAGGCATCCACCACCCATCCATACTCTCAATCCGAAGCCTTTGCAAATCGTCATCATCATTGTGAACGTACCGATGAACTCGATCGTGGTATCTGGACGTATTTCGGTCCTGGAGGAACGAAAGAAGCACCAACCGTAGCGGGCAAGAAGGAGATGTACCTAAGATGCAACCATGATGGCTGCATGAGGATCGATTGGAAGACTGTCCATGGTCTACAGTGCCATATCGTCAAGAACCATGGTATACCTAAGGGCACCATTGGCAGTCTCGAGCTAGCGCTTGAGAGATATGGAGTTCCAGTGCAAGATATCGAGGATCATGAGAAGAAACATGGACTCGGCTCTGCTGGCACAATGGCTGAGAAAGGAACCCGTGGGAGGCCACGTGCCAGCAGACCATCCGATGAGATAGTCGCGCCACGATCTACTGGAGCTGCATCTGGACCCGTTGCCGGACCGACCATCGCACCACCTAAGCCTCCCTCTGCCGCTCGACCCAAGCCTTCTGCCCCAATAGTACTGTTTCCGAACTTAGCTGCAAGGAGTCCTAGCGGAGGCTATGTTCAAGACGATATTGTGTACTCGGAAGAAGAAAGTGATGGAGACGAGTCATCAGTTGAAGTCAAGCCATCCGTGCCCAGGCATGTTACAGCTCCCATTCAATGGAAAGCTTCAGATTCTGAACTCTCGACGCCATCCACTGCCAAGGTAGAAGGTGATGATGGATTGCGTCTACCGGTACCTCGATCCGCACCGATTGAGCATGGAAACCCTCCCACGATTGACGGCCCCAAATCACCCGAGCCCAGGCCAACCTCCGGCACCGAGACATTGGCCGTGACTGACACCGCTCCAATTTCTGCCGAAAGCCTTCCAGCACCATCTACCAAACTCCCGCTCCACTCTGTCGCATCAGCAACACCCATGGGCACAGAAACACAAAACATCGTCTCGGCAGCAGAGCACGTAAACGCCCGTCTCGATACCCAAGACCCAGAGTTCGTTGGCACAGCCACCACCACGACGGAGAGTGAAGTCCCTTCACAACCGACCAGACCGAAACACACAAAAACCAGACCGAAACACACACGCAAAACCAGACTGAAACACACACGCAAAACCAGACCGAAGCACACACGCAAAACCAAACAACGCAAGCAACCAGTGATTCTCAGGACACAGCGATTCCCAGCACGAAATCCACCTCCCGTCCACGAGGTGGAGAACGTGAACGTCGAGTCCCCGCCTCCGAGCGCTGGGATTGGGCTCCCATTGAAGATGACGACAACGCCACCGCCACGAATCCTAGCACGAGCACTACGATAACGCTGTCGAAGAGGAAGAATAGCACGGCCAGCGGGAATACGCTGACCAAGGCGCAGCAGGAGTTACAGGGGATTGATGGGTCTGTGGGTGGTGATGGAGATGGAGAGGATGGTGGTGCGGGTGGTGAGGATGGAAGTGGGAATGGAAACGGAAATGGAAGTGGAAATGGGAGTGTGACGACAAAAAGTCCGGCTACGGCAAGGCATAGTGCTAGGAAGAAGACGAGGAGGAGAGTTGATGCTTAGATCGGAGCGGGGGCGGAGGCATAGGCCTGTAAAGAAAAAGTTGCTGTTCTAGATATGCGGGTTGTGGTATTTATATATGCCTTTTTAATTGTTCTCTTAGGTTAGGCTACTTTCAGTCATTGCAGACATTTTCTAGACTTTGCTAGTAATTGGGGAATATGATATAGTAGGCTTCACTTACGAGGCTGGATGATGAGATCAAAGGTCTCTTTTTCTTGAGTGATGGATGGGATGGATGGATGGATGGATGTGCCTCAGATCCATCTAATCATGCGTCTTGTACCATAACTACTTATTCTGGATACTTTTCTCTCTTTCTAGACCTCTAGGCGCTGCTACAGGGAACTCACGGGTCGCCGTCTAACTGAATCAATCATACGCCGCTGGATTGTGTGTCATGGGTTTCTGTGCTAGTTAGTCTTATCCCCATACCCACCTCTTTTGTTCGTGGTGGGGCGTGGAGGGGCGTGGATCTGGTGCAAGTTGGGCACTAAGTAGGCTACGTGTTTTTGTCTTCTGGTAAGTAGATTGATTAGCAGTTATCTACCTCCCGTATTCTGCGATCGCGGATGAGCTTGGGTGGGATTTCAATTCGCAGCCTCGTAGGGGGAATACACTGTCGCTAAGTTAGTTAAATTTATACGGTTTCATGAGGTGATCTTTGGAAGAGGGAAAAATGGAGAGGTGTTACGTAGTAGTTCACCTTCTATATTTGTTAGAATACATCTGCGGTTCTGAAAAGTATACTGAATAGAAATTGGGCCTATGTATTGAGATGGTATACTATTCACATATCCTGAAAAGAAGGCCACTGTCGCTTGCGGGCGTCGCTGTCTCTCGTTATGGAGTTCCTGATGCCACCAGTCCGTAATAGATTGAAATGATGGTTCTCACCACCATGATCTAATTGTTGAACATCATCCATATCGCACTTGCCGTACGATTCGTATTTCTGCAGAACCTGGCGACCGACTGTATGCCGCATTGAGCAGTAAGTCAATCCCGCTCCTTCGTATCTATAGATGGAGTCGGTAGTGTTGATTATCTTGCCCTCATCTTCAGCTCCCCTTGTTGTGCCAAATCTTTGCCCCATATGCTTCGCGTGAAGACTCGCCACCGCGCTGAGTAGGATATCGGATGGCAGGATCGGCGAGCTCGTCTGCTTGCTGTATTGTGCTCACTGACTCATCACTGAAGTTCCCTCAGCCCTGCAAACCTCACACCGTCTGTCGAATGTCGTGTTCTCCACCCGACGTGAATACCACTCATGCCTACCATCAAACCAAACCGGAGCCACATGAAGGTTGAGAACTTCGCCTCGCTGCTATTGCTTCCGATGTCGATCCCATCACAGTACCCTGTAGAGCACTCCAGCGGTCATGTGGTGCTCTTATCCGTCATTGATATTGCTTGCTGAGGTCCTGTTCGTGCTTTCGGACAGGCTTGAAACAGGACCACAATCTTTCCTCTGATTCTTGAGACGTTCTAGGTCAGATGCTATGGCCACTGTGAGTTCGTGGTCTGGGCCCAACGTCTTCTCGGATCCTGCCAGTGTCCTCAGATACATCTGCTCGGCTTCAACTAGCTTCCCTTGCTTCCAGTAAGTCCAACCAAGATAGCAGACTACCTCCAATGTCCGAGTGTGCTCTGGGCCAAATAGCTTTTCATGTCCCTCGAGTGCCCCTTGGTACATTTCTAGTGCTTTTGCTATTTTTTCTTGACGAGCGTAGAGTCCAGCTAGCGACCAAACTGTGATCAGCGTCGATTCATGCTCCAGACCGCATACCTTCTCTAATCCTGTCAACGCCTGCAGCAACATTGACTCTGCACTTGCCATCTTTCCCTGATTCATGTAGCACCGGCCTAGGTAATACACTGCACCTAGTGTCTCAGCGTGTTCAGAACCGTATATCTGCTCAAATCCTGCTAGTGCCTGCAAAAGTGTCTTCTCTGCTTCAGCCATCTTTCCTTGTTCAAAGTAGAGGAAAGCTAGGCTGTCGAGCAGTCTTATTGTCATCATATGTTCACGACCATGCAGCTTCTGTCGTCCTGCTGATGCATTCAGCAACAACTCCTCTGCTTCTGCCAATCTTCCTTGGAAGATGTACATGACACCCAATCTGCGAAGCGTTTCCAACCTCAATATATTTTCCTGACTCCACATTGACTCATTTTGCTCTGTCACTTTTAATACTCGTAAATACATCGGCTCTGCCTTTCTGGGTTCATCTAACTGATCCTACAAGAAAGCTATATCATGTAAATCCTGCATGTTTACCATATTGCTGTCCATCATACTTTTCAAGCGGCCACTCTGAAGGCTTATGGCATGCTGTAGTAATCGTCGGTTTCCCATATAGTTGCCTGGCGAAGTCTATTCTAAAACATTTTGTCCGACACAGTGCAACGCCACCCCATGTAAAGCAGAATTCAGGTCGCGGTTTAGGAAGTCTAAAGCCCGGTCGTGGAGACACGCATGTATACTGTAGCTCCTGGGCCGGACATCTATTAGTGAATAGTCATGCAGCTTTGCCATCGCTCGGTTGAATCTTATCTCATTTCTGACCACATCAGAGAGCCAAGGTAGCCCACAGTCTTCCCCTGGCCGGAGGAGGCCATACCAGATATCCTGATTGTCGAAGTAGGCCAGCAATTGCATTAGCTTCACAGCTTCAGGATCATGAGATTCGATCTGCTTTAGTGATATGGGCCATGTGGTCCAGAGCCGCCGATCATCGTATTCCAATAGTCCTTCGGAATTCTGCTTGAGTTCTTCAAGTCTGTGTTCGTACAGCTGTAAGTAATCGCCAAATGTGCCGGTTGTCTGACTTAGGTACGAGCCAGCTGTCGCCAGAGCAAGCGGCAGCCCATCCAATCTCAGAGCCAGGTCCTTTGCGCCTTGATCTAAAACAGATAATTGGATATGCTAGCAACAGCTGCCACAGGAAGCATCTGGGCTCAAGACCACTTACCGCTCTCGGTCTTTCGGCCTGAACGATTTGCCAGGATCATTAGGCTCTCGCGGGGCTCCTCGAGCTTCCACAATTTCAATTAAGTAGCAAAGTTCAAGCGAGTGACACGTGTCGTGATCAGGATAAAACCCTGCTGTCTGGGTGGAAAGAATCGACGTAGGTCGTAGCCCGTGGCGCTTCGCATTCCTGGCACATCAGGATCGTCATAGTTGTCGAATATCAAGAGCCATCTGCTATTCTCCGACTTCGACAACCACGACAGGAACCATTTAACATCCTCGTCTTGGTTGCCAAGATGGCTTGCACACGGGGACGAAGAGCCATCCGCGACACGCATCACTAAATTGACAATGCCTGCCTTCAAGGTGCTTTCATCCTTGGCACTAAGCCAGAAGATGGATGAATACGTTTCACGGTGCAGCTTCGCATAGTGGATGCAGAGTTGTGTTTTTCCCATCCCACCCAAACCGGATACTGCCACGACGTTCTGAGTCCTCGTTGCGGGTGAAAGCAATTCTTGCATCTGCACCAACTCTCTTTCACGTCCTACAAAGAGATCATCCGCAATCTGAGGCGCACCGTCCAGGCTCAGCCCGAAGGCGTAATTGGACCCGGTGTTGACAGGCCTGCCCTGTTGGGACCCTTCACCATTGCTGCTGCCTTTAGACAAGTGAAACAGAGGAGCCTGGGATGACTGACTAGTAGTAATTGATATTTCCTTGCGCAGTTTGGTTTCCTGCTATATACAAGGCATGACCCTGATTGTGAAAGGCCAATGGCCCTGGCTCGGACGAGGCTGACATTGACAACAACCATAAGACGTTGTATTTGTCAGCGGTCTTGTTATGTGGATGTAGAGCCGTGGCCGAGAGTATTCTGTATGTTCTCTGGACACCCTGTGTGTATATGTCGTTCACAGGCAAAGTTGTGTTGACATGTAAGAAACTATCTAAGGAGTGAGGATGGAATAGATGCCTAACTCATTACCATACATTCCAAAAGTACCGCAAAAGCTGTGATCTGTAATTGCCACTTATCAACACGTGTTGAGACCTCCAATAACAACACTTGATGCTTCCGCACTCAAATTTATAAAGAGTAAAGCCCAGTACACTCGCAAATAATTGCCGCCAAAGACAGAATAACCATCTCACTCATCCTGTAGAACTTGGTTGAAGTCATTGACCAGCAGCAATGCTCAAATCTATTGCCACGCTTTTGTAGCACTTTTGAAATGCAGTCTTTTAGTTCAATCTAGCGCTGGGGCGGCGGTCTTGGGGGTTGATCGTACAATTTTCTATCTGCACAGCAGCGAGTCCTCTCTTTCCAGTCAATAGATCTCGAATATCAATAGAGCAGCACCATATCAACATTGAGTTGTCGATCCATCCATAACGCTTTAATGCCTGGTCGAAGACGTATCCCTGTGTTCACCCTAACAGACTTGGGTGAACCGGTATTCCTTGATCTGTGCTCCATTTCATTCCTCTTCCTCGAATTATGGATTATGCGTCATTGTTGTCTTTCAACTGAGTGATCTGGGATTTCAGATTTGATCCCCTTCTCGGACTTGATCAGTCGTGGCTATCAGTGCCTTAAGTAAACATGTCTGAGGAGGGTCTAATGAACTCAAGCACACCAGAACTATTACTCAAAGCTCAATGTGAGAAAGCTGATGCGAGGAAAATGCTCGCTCATTATCGAGCCTTGGGAAGATGCCGAATCAACTCGAATACTGTATGAACCGGGACGCTCTCATCCTGCATCGCTTCTACAGCCTTTGAAGAACGCCAACTTTCCAGGCGTCCGATGCTGCTACCCTATTATTCCAGCTAATGAGGACATCTGGGATTCATTCTTCCACCGACGTTACTCACCAGGATTCTACCTAACCTTAGGAATGATCAAAGTCAATCACTTCAGCTCTTGGGACCCTAGTCGCCTTAGATAGCCCTGGCACCTTTCTGACTACAATGGTCGGCTCTCTATGCAATATTGCGGCCGGATTTGGTCCGGTTGCGCAATCTGATTGTGGTTCTATGCTACGTACCTATCTTCTAGAAGGTGAGCAGGAGGAGCAGCACTTAAGGAACTACACAAAGAACTGTTAAGAGAGAGGGGGACCTAGGTAGAGCTTTAAGCATAACATCATGGTTGGCTATAGGCAAACAATGCTAGGTGCTTTTTCATGGAGTGACCATGCACTAATGATGGAGTATTTTGAACCGGTGGATTTGAATCTGAGGCGGGCGAGAGCTGATGAGTCGGCGATTGCAGGCACTTGGAGTTATTCCAAGGAAGCATACCATGCAACTTCACAAAAGCTGTGTAAGAGTTCTGGTTGATACATCTTCACTCAGCTCAATGTGAGCCACTGGTGAGAGCGTCCTCTCCTAAAACTCATACCTCTTTATGCATCTGATCAGCACTCGTCAAAGGACAAAAGCTTTTACCAGAATATCTAAAACCCATTCTCGCACACTTGCGATAACATTGGTTACAAAAGCTCACCCTAACCCGATCTATCGTCAACTCCAACCACGCCTTTCTCTTCATTAATTTCTGCATAATACAACCACGTCGACTGGTCACAATCTGATCATGGAGTGCACTTCATCCGCTTCCGCCAAGAACGCTCAGATCGATTATTCAAGTTCCAGTTCTGTTGATACAACCCAGTCAGCTGTGAAGAAGCACATGGCCGGAACTTGGTTATCTGTTGCGAGGCCATCATCGGCTAAAGAGCGCGAACAGAAAGAAAAGGTGAGATAATGCTCAAGCTACAATCGGAACCAGGCACAGGACTGATTCGCAGGAGTTATCCATATTCGAGGGGTGTTAGTTGACTTTCTTTTCACCAGAGAGTTGAGCAGACTCGAGCCTACAGAAAGTCTCACTCGGACGGAGATTGAGACGACCCGTAGTTCCAGTGACAAAAAGATCTATCGTGGGAAAGCTGGTCGCTTGTGGGAGGAACTTGGGGCCAAAGCAAAGGCACGAGTCCAGGAATGGATAGAAGAGCGTGAGGAATTCGAGAAGGCAAAGAAAGCGAAAGCGGACCTTGCGGAGGCATTGGCTATTACGGAGAGTCTGTATGGGAGCTTGAAAAGCGCCCAGAAATACGGTACAGTCATGGGTCCTGCTGTCCGCAAGCGGAGGAGGGAGAAAGCTTTGGAGCAGGCTTTGGAGCACGCGGAGAAAGCTGTAGACGCCATGAAGAGAATGAAGACTACATAGTGAGGAAAGGGTATTGGGCGCAAGACAAAACGGAATGATGCCACCAGATAGGTCGTGCCTACGGGCATTCAAGCACCGGTGGAGGCTGGAGGTTGGTGGCCTGCCTGAGCATCTCATAGATAGAATGAATTAATGTTCATCTGACATTCATTCACCATGAGTTGCACTGCGGTGTTTCCTCGAAGCGATCTATATCAATCGAGAAGCTATGTGTCGAGCTCTTCTTTAGATCTCACTTCTCCCTCGTTTGCCAACTTCCATTATCCTTCCTTCCCCCGATCACATCTTGAATATCAGCTGTTAACTTCAACTTGAAATACTTCCCCAGCATGCCCAAGCCACCAGTTCCCACTTCAAAGCTGCCTTCGACTCAGTTCACCTTTTCTGATACCGCTTTATTGGCCTGGACTCACCCAGTACTTCATTGCGTTAGCGATTCGGACATCGCCAAATCTCAGGAGCGAAAGGTAAGCATCTCCTTCTTGAGTAGTGATGTCTCAACTTACTCTCTCCAGATTGAAGCGTACGATGAAGTCCTGAGAGAGGTTTACTGCTTCCTCACCATCGGCGAATCCGGCTCCGACCCGGAGATGTCTAGACAAGCGTTTACAAGTAGAATGCGGAGGTCCGTCGACAAGATCATCAAGCGATACGGTGATGAGGTTGGCTTACAGCGGCTTACTGAGTTTGGGAGGAAAACTGGTGAAGCGTGGCTCGAGCGTCAGGATGAGATACAGAATCTTGGAAAGGCAGAGAAAGATTTCCAGAGTGCAGCGAAAAGGGTAGGTAAAATTCGTCAGGAGCTTGCAACTGGCCATGCCGAAAGTCATATTTCGAAAACGGCGGACACACAGCTTGAAGACAGGAAACGGAAGCTCGATGAGGTCGGGGAACAGGTTGAGAAGGCCTCCGAGTTGTGCAAGCGGGTGAGGCGGGTGAAGCGGGAAGAGTAGCCATAAAGAGGATCGTGCTTCTGGTATCTGTCTCAGCAACATACTGGGAATATCTGGAGTTGGTGGAAGGGATTTTATTGAGATGGTGAGCAGAGGATAGCGAGCTAAGCTGTATAGCATGACCTGGACAGGAATGGCAATAATGGCTGGACAGGAATGGCAATAATGGCTGGACAGGAATGGCAATAATGGCAGGACATTGTCTTCAGGCCTTGAATCAAAGAAACTATATTCCCTTAGCTAGCACGAGCTTCAGATCGCCATTCATGCGGGCTCGTAGGTATTGAAAAGATCTCAACCAGCTGCAAGGGCTTTATACTTAGCAAACTATCCAATTTCGGCCGGCCTCTGTAATCGTAGCGCATACATTCCTCCAGATCCCGGTCATTTCTTCCCACCAAGCACAGCCAACTTAGCCTCGGTAGGAGCAACCTCAGCAAATGTCTCATCCGAGAACTTCAGATCTTCTTCAAGAGAAGTCGTATCCTGAATTTTCATAAATATCACGGGTGTAGCTACAATCAAGCTACCAGCCAGCAAGCCCCAAGCGGCAGCGAGATTTGTCATATAGGGGACTCTTCTATTGTCAATGGCTGGTGCTATGGCGGCCCCAGCAGACTGGATACCCTTGTAGAAGCCCGTGAAGTTTGCCAATTTGCGGCCATTGTTCGTTAGAGATCCAAGCAACCTGATCGAGTCAGCTTGTACAAGAGCTCCTCCAGTGGTTACACTTACCAGTAAACATAAGTTTGCCACATGGCATCGTAAAGTCCATAGAACATGTACATGAACATCGGGCCAATGTAGCCAGAATCATTGAAGTCCATGGCCCTGTAAGTCTCCGCTGATACCTGTTCACGAGTATATCTTCTCTGAAAGGCATATCCACCGCCCCAGACAACCATTGTGATGACCAGCATGAACGCCCAGCCAGCCTTGGCTCTGGATGTGCGGCGAACGTTGATGTCTAACCCATAGCCTAGAACATATGCTCCAATTATTTGTGAAAGCCAGTAGAGAGTGTTGTTCAGAGCTCGAGTTCGAATATTATAATATGCTGCGTTGACATCCTGGAATTGGTAGGTGTAAAACCAGTTGCTGGCGAGGAACATCGGGAAAAGGCAAACGATATACCAGTCAGTCTTCAGAACCTCGAAGAGGCCGAGAATCTCAGATTTCCAGGTAGGGTTTTTCATGACCACGACGTGAGACCCGTCAGCTCGCCGCACAAATTTCGAGTCAACCAGCGAGAATGCAAGGAAGAAGCCAAGAGCCATTAGGACCATGAAAGCGATATATGTTCCATCGCTAACCGCCCCCGCTTCGGAGTGCAAGTTAAGACCGAGTGGGATCTATCATTGTCAGGACCTCGCCTTTACCTTCAGACGTTGCGCTCACCAGACTGCCAATAACAGCTCCAAGGTTGAAGATCATCCAGAACCACGATATATACTTTCCTTTGCTCTTCTCGGATGGGTAGCTCATCATAACAGCACCCTGCGCAGTCCACAGCATGCCCGCACAGACACCCAGTAGTGCTCCAGCAAAGATCAAGAAACCCGCATTCTTATTGTGGTTGTATGAGAGGATCGAGGCAACATATAGGAAATAGCCAAAACCACCGAGCCCCAGCGTCAGCTTGAGGCCAATGCGGTTAGCGATGCTGCCAGCAAAAAAGCCAACCACCGAAAATGTTGCATATACAGCGATATTAGCATTGTTGATATCGTAAGGATCGACTTGTCCAGCAGCTCCCAGACCGTTGACGGCATTAAACATGCCAGGGCACAAGAAGCAGACAAAGGCAACAAGGCCGAGTTGAGACGGTGGTGACGCGTAGTAGGGGATCTTGATTGGGCCAAGCTTTGTTGTTTTGTACATCCAGGGCTTGCCTGTGAGTGCAGGATCGTTCTCTAGAATGGCTGGGTCGTTCCCCGGAGGAGTCTTGGTGCCCATCGTGTCTGCGGCGGCATGCTTCTCGTCGATCGCCCCTGCCATGGCTGCTAGGATGGCAGGAGGAAGGAATAGATGGAATATTGCTCAAGTGTGATATCTGAGGCTTCTGCGATCGTTAGGTGTCTCGTGAGCGAGGCTTGATAACGAGGTCTCAAATTGCTGGGTCTGCATGAGAGAAGACAGAAACTTCGTTTGCTGACCACCAGGGATTGTAAGCCATGCCCAGAGCGCCACTCTCTCTGTGTTAAAAATATTCACAAACTGTCCAACTGAGCAGGATGCGGGCTTGCAGGGACTGGGTTCGATGGGTGTGGGGAAGCAGTTGATAGCGAATGGTTCATGGAGTACCTGTGCTAAGGGTACATTCAAATTAGTGGCTGAGAATAACCATCGAGTAATGATGTACATTTTAGGTGCAGCGTCGGTTTACCCAATTGAGACGGACATGTGCTTGACCCTAGTTTCGCCCCTGAAGGCCGCTTGTTTCAGTGGCCTCCCAGCCATCATCGATCCCAGCTTACTGACCTCAAGCACTGCTTAATGAACCCGCTATCATAATGTTGCATCGTATCTCTACTGCTTTTCACTGATCAATCTACCATCAGTACTCCGTCCTTGTATTTCTCCTGGCAGTGGGAGTTATCCATGAGTATTAACACTGGAATATATAATGGCGACTACTGCTAAGGCTGAAACTACGGTTGCAGAAGAAGAGATCCGTCTGTGCATGCTCGAGGCTTCCTGAATGATTGGAGCACCAGATGGTGGTGCTCCTGTAACTGTGATCCTCTGTTCACTGACATGTTTACTGAAGCAGTAAATCACAGTACTACAAGCATGTCATGCATGTCATGCACGCCAGGTAGGTACTTACAACTCAGTCTTGCACACTTCTTTCCATCCGATCAAACAAGTTTCAGCTATCAACCCTTGCCTTATCACTTTTCTAGCACGATGAAATTGCCTTCACATATCACGAAATTTACTACCAGTACGGAGTATACTTATGCGTAACAATAATACTCTTCTACATAGAAATTTTCTGACAGGCGGCGAACGAGGCAAGATTCTATCCCCCAAAATCTTCTAGCTATCGATCGCAACTCATGCTAGATGAGATCATCGATCTTAAAGGCAAGATCTTTTGTCGTGAATTTATCGATGTCCAGCTAAATGGAGGCTACCAACTTGATTCCTTTGCGCGACCAGCTACATATGCGGAAAACCTTAGATCCCACAATCGTCTCTTGATTCACTCAGGGGTGACCTCGTACTTACCTTCCGTGACGAGCTCGAGGCCCGATATTTATCCTGCTGTTCTACCATACCTCGGACCCTCAGGATATATCAAGATTGCGGAAGAGGGTGCAGAGAGCTTTGCGGCACATGTTGAAGGATCCTTCCTTTCCTCTGAAAGAAGTGGAATCCAGAATCTCGATGTACTTCTCAAAGCCAACTCCTTCGGTGTTCTTGAGGCTTGTTGTGGTGTGGAGAACCTCAACATCGGGCTCAACATCAAAAGGATCGCGGCGGCTCCTGAGTTGAGCAACATGATGTTCCTCATCCCCGAGCTGAAATCAAGGAATACAGTCTTCTCGATTGGGCAGACTGATCTCCACGCCAGAGGGCCAGGAAGCAATCGAGGCCGACGCCACTATGGTAACTCACATGTCTAATGCAGTGCGGCCATTTGGTCATCGTGATCCAGGAATTTGAGTCTTCAACCCCAAACTCAAGTCAAACTTTGAGTTAAGTTTCAAGTGATGAAAGCAGACTGAGACGCAGCTTCAACCAGGCCATTCTTTGGACTGATTGTGGGTGGCGTTCTTCTGCGCTCATCTTCTGTCAAGATCGCTTACCAGGTCTATCCGGACAGAGCTATTCTAGTGACTGATGCGAGGAGATTGGTAGAATATCCGGACGGGACATATGAATGGACGAATTGAGATCGCATCGTCAAAACTAGAAAGTTTTGAGGCTTAAGTCAAACGGCAGGATCGCCGGCAGTGCAGTCTTAATGATCGAGTGCGTGAAGAAAATCTGCAGATTCACTGGTTGCACTGTTGGCGAAGCACTAGCTTGTGTAACTGGTCACCCCCAAAAGATGCTCGGGAAAGAGAAGGGAAAAGGGGTAGTGAAAGAGAATATGGATGCCGACCTTGTTATCTCGATACAGATCATGAGAGCAGGCGTGTGATAGATCAAGCCTGGAAAGTTGGCAAGGTGTATGGGTAAGCCGCGCACCGGAAAACGATCGTTTGCTTATGCACCCTACATTTCGCAGCCTGGGAATAGTATTTTATGCTTACAAAGATGTTGCGAAGGATTTGGGCTCTCCGTCCAGAGACTTAGATCAAAGATATAGGTATAGGAATTGGAGACCTCGTGTCTGTCAATTGATTGAACAGCTGCATTTTTATAAGAACAGGTATACATATCAAACGTCTCTCTCTATATCTGGTCAACCTAATTGAGATCACTCTCAGAATATCTCAAATTAGCAAACGTAAAAATTGACATGTTCTCACTTTATTCAAGCACCTCGCCATCTATATTTGTGATCCTCGCTCGCTCCACCAAATTTGATCAGAAGGTCCGATATCATCTAAAGAATCGGACTGATGTAGGTGCAGTCCCGGGTATAATCCAAACATATGTGGAGGCTCTTGAAGAGAGGTGACTGAGGTTACCAACTGCTCTATTAGCTGTCACTCTAGACGAGGCTATGCCCAGAAGAGCATATCATGATGTGATATGAGGTCGAGCACTATTAGCCCGAGACAGCAAAAGGAAGGAAACATGGAGTAAAATGTGCTCTTTCCTGTTCTGGGATATGAGGTGCACATGTGTTGAACTTGGACTAACCGCCTCGAGAATACCTACCGCCGCGGTTGCTTGGATCGATCACCCAATTAAGTAAGGTAGACTTGTGACTTGCAACCACCTTGACAGGATGTGATGAGATCCGGCATCATGCATGGAGACTCTCAGTTGTCTGCCTTTGATCAAGCAGATATCTGTAAGAGGTAGTACTTAGTTGCTCTTCAAACTCTAACTTAATTGTGCTCTAGTACTACTTACCAGGAGAAGGGGTAGCTAAAGATTTACGCTAAGTGCCATTAGTAGAAATGACAGTCATTCCGTCAAATGACCACCATACTAGTATAATAAAAGAAGCATATTTTGACCATATTATAATCATATTTTTAGTAAAATACGTTGTAAATAGTAAGATTTTATTAGATTATAGACGACTAAGCTGCATATCTTTGTACTCTCTAAGTAACATCACGGTAAGGCTTAATCTAAGCGCACTTTGATGGCTCCCCTAGCATTATTTTAAGAGGGCCTCTTCCTGCTAAGTAGTTAGTACTACTAAAGCAAGTGGATGCCAAGCTTGGATTGATATCAAGGCATGCGTAGACGAGAGGGAAAGTATAGACGAGTGACATCGAAATCTTACCACTACCAACCAAAACTGTGATTTGCACTCTCCTTCATGACTCCTGCTGGTAAATAATGCAACAGCATTTCAGCTGGACTTCAGACCTCGTGGCAAGCAAGCCTGAAGCTCTGATACTGAATCCTCTCTTGTATAAGTGCTGATATGTTTGCAATCTCTCAGCCACCAGATAGATGTGCATTTGGTTTTCCCTTTGAAAGCCACCCAGACACCATGATCCTGACACCAGTTTCTTCACAACTAGGTGTAATGCCTCGGGCGCGAAGACAAGTAACATGAGCAGCAGGATATCGAAATGCTCCGTTAGATGGTATTTCCACACTCCATGTGTCACTCTGTCACGTGTGCAGATGGCCAGTCTTCTCCCTAATGCTGGTACCACTCGAGGGCTGCACCTGTGCGCGAGGGCTTTTACCTGGAAGGAATATGGGTACCAGCTTCTTGCCTAGATGATTAGCAGCTGCCATGCAATTCTTCCAAACCAGTGAAAGTGCCCTTGCCCGCATTCCTTTGCTGCAATACGCTGCAACACTGTCCTTTTGAGCAGTACAAGACAAGAAAACAGCCAACACTTCTCAAAAATAGGAAGATATCGATAACTGGCTGTTTGAAGCTGCAAATGATGTCTTCCATTGTACCATCCTGTCCAACTTATCACAGAACATATGGGGGAGTTACGCTTTCTGGCAGGTCATGCGTGGCCAGATCCGTGCTGTTGGTCACATCTCTTGTCTCTCCAGTGATGCTCTGAGACTGCAGTCAATGGTACTTTGGGTCCCATGTCTATTGGTTCGTGGCAGCCGGTCATGTTGAGTTGATATATTAACTTCTGGTCTTTCGATATTGGATCGGCTGTTCCTGTCAACAGAAGTATGGTGCCAGATTCCCAGGCACCGTCGGATCATTGATGGAAACTGTCATCTGGAGCATTGCAGAGCGGTCAAAAGCTTGAAGTGGAGATTGCAATGCATATCAGGCATGCGTAGAAGCACGGAAGTCAGCCAGATCACATCAGAGTCTCGGTCGAGTGCAGCTAACTGAGGTGGCAATTATTTTCTTGTTGCTAACATTCTGGACCAGCGAATTTTAGAGGAAAACCTGTGTTTGCAGAACTTTCAGATCACCTTCGCTTCAAATTAGAGGCTATCCAATCAACAACCCACTAGTGCTTGATTGTCTAAAAGTCAACAGAATCTTTGCAGGACGATCCCATTGTTCTACGACATCTTTGGCCATAAAACCATTGAAATAAATCTTGCCATAGCGCTGTGAGAGCTTCAGGGTCGATAATACCCATCCAGCGTTCTTTCGAACCAGTACCCTCGACTCGGTTATACCTGTGACAAAGTTACGGTAAGGATAACGATTTCACCAATACAAGAAACCCTTCGAGCGCTGATATCGTCCTAGATGGCCAACAACGCCCCAGTCCCACCTGTCAATGCAGTCATCGTCATCGCCATCCGCATACCAAATGCTACTACCGCGTTCAACCCGGCTGTGAACTCAATCTACAGTACACCTCTCCACGGTAGCTGTGAGCAAACATACAAGCGCACCAATTTGCTGTTTGTCGTTGGAGTGGTTCCTAACAATCAACAAATCCGCAATATTCCTGAAAATCCAATATCCACCACGACTGGGGACTGGCACTCCCCTGGCGGCAGTGCTCTCTCTACCAATGAGATGACCTTCAATGTCGATAAACGTTTGTCAACCGTGAAATGCCGCTGCTTCAAAAATCTTCGGGGAATTGTCAGTTCAATTGTCCAGCAGATGGGTGGCGCCGCTGTGTTCACAGCTGCAACGCCAGCGCAAAACATTACCATCTTCCGCCAATTCTACCAACAAGACCCATACAATGTCACTCGCGCCATGCTTCACGGTGCCGGAGCAAAGGACATCAACCTTGACGCAATTTTCAACTCGCAGCACGTGAACCAGACTCCGATTGGTCAGAACTCTGGCTTTGATCAGGTTGTAGTGCTTCGACAATGGTTTGAGTTCTTCTTCGAGGAATCTTGCACAATTGTTGGACAACACTATATCTGGGGACCTACCCCTAATCCCTTTGGTCCTCATGAAGCGAGATTGGCTCTTCAGGCACTTCGTGGTCAGTTTCTAGCTGCCAACAACAACCCCCAAAACAACAACCCACCTGTTCACATTCTTGATCCGAGGAATATGCCGGTGTAGCAAGTATTATTCTTTCGCAGCTGGCGAGACTCTGGTACCTAAAGCTTCGATCATCACCTGGCGCTGATCATGTGAATTATGAAGTTGCATGCTGGCCACTCGTATGCAAAGCATCATATTCATAACCCTGCTTCATCCTCAAGCACGCCAAGCATCCCAGTTCATTAGACTTGGTGACCGTCCGCGCCAAACCAATCACATCACCAACAGCAGTGTGCGAAGCATTCCTCCCTTCAACTTTCAGCATCTCAAAGGCTACCAGAGGCAGGACATTACTTTTTGGGCTGTTATGGAACGACATTGTCAACCCATCCTTCGACCTCATTATCCCTTTCTCTGATGCACCTCATGTATTGGTATCACCAAGCACAACAACAATTCAGATCATGCTTGTGTGAAAAGAAATCAAAGCAGAGGCCTACTATTTCTCTGCTCCAGATTTTTGTCGTGCCTCTAGATTAGTTGCTTTCTGTACTTAATTCAACAGCACATCAACAATAACGAAGCAACCCGTCTACAAATCTACGTGAATAAAATGTAAGTTCTTTTGTCCAGACATGTTAGGTGTTCGTAGTGGAACTTGTTCTTTTAAATTTCATTATTGTATTAATCTTATTGCTCACGCTGCAAGATGAATCAAACGCTACTACGGAATTGGAACCTTGTATGCTTGCCAATAGACCTACAGGATCTACGAACTTGAATATTGTAGGTCCACAAATTCAGGTTGTGATGGAAAAAGAAGAACCCGGTTGGCTTGCCGCCTCTCGTGTCAGTCATCATAGTACATTAGTAGCCCTTTCCTTGCACCTACGTGGAATGCCGTCCACTTCCAGGAAAAAGCTGTTAGATTGAACAAGCTGTATGAAACCTTTGCGCTAATGCTTCCCTTGACACTTTCCAATGGACTAGATAACCTTCCGTAGCTTTCTTGGGTAGCAGTTTTCTGCAAGGTAAGACTCGTGTAATGCTGGGTTGGCAAGAGCCGGAATGTAGCCCGAGCAGAATTATTACGAAGCGGACCGTGCTCTGATATGGTATTTGGGAAGTCTGATTCGAGTGCAACCTAGATAGTCAACTTATGATATCATCAAACAATGTTCACAACACCCATACGTTGGGTAGGTTAGAAGTAGACGCAGAACGCCAACACAGGGGACCCAGGATGCAGTACTCTAGCCAACAAAGTCACCGCCAACAAGATCAAGGAGGTAATGTTTCAGCGAAGCCAACAACTATGATATAGTGGAACATCGCACCGAAGGATGAAAGTAAGACCCAGCCAGGTGGGTGCAGGTTGGAAATTCTCCTCCAGCTGATGCAGACGGTCGGATCAAGGAGCGAGAGGTGCTACCAACACGATTGGAGCTAAAGCGTTCAGATAGGCTCCATATGTAAGAAAATGTATAATGGCAAACGATGTCGAGCTCCAAGTGGCAAACATAGACGACGTTGCATCCATAAGAACGAACGGCATCCTTTTCATCAACGAACGCCGCCGCACGCGTAACTACTGGGGGCAACGCCGATCGCCGGCCAAGCAAGAGCTGGGGCCAGAATCCCCGTAGTTACTATGTAGTTACGAACCTTGGGAACCACTGGTCCTTGCGTACGACTCTTGGAGATCGGAGAACACTCTGTAGGCTTACAGTAGCTGGAGTAGTGCAGCTGGACAGGGCACTCCATACCCCGTGCAACCTACCGGTGCTGTACGACCGCTCATTTTGCGGGTGAGAAGGCCAGTGCTGCGATGCCCGAGGCATCATCGCCGTAGAACACGTCCGGTACGGTATATCCTATGGAACTCGATCAGTATAAGGCCCCCAGACGTGTGTTGCTTAGCAGAGTAGTAAAAGGATGTATGGCTGAAAGGCAGGATTCGGGGGTAAGATCGTTGGCAAATCTACTACGTACTACATGTTGCCCTTTGGGAAGGTAGCAAGGGTGACAAATCGCCCCATAGGTGACGCTACTCTGGACAGAGTACCCGCCCCTGGTGTAACGCTGTCTTTTAGCCTCCTTTGTTTGAGAACGCTCCACGTCTTAGACCCCCAACCCGGCTCTGGTAACAACCGATGGACTGTCAGTTTCTTTGCCATTGGGGCTGCAAATTGGTCACATCCATACGAAACATGCTGCCGCAGCGTTTGCAACAAGTCACTCTCCACCCACTGGTCACGCATCCACCATCCACCAGGTTCCATATGGATGACCAGCTTAAGACTCATGTTTCCCACATTGGCTTTGTCTAGGATGCCTCTTCGTATCACAAAGATCTCCTAATATGTATAGGGACTGCTTTTCCGCTTGAGCATCTCTTCTTCCCTCAATTCATACTTCAATTCTTTCAGAGCATCCTCGCCGCGATTGACACAATGTTGCTATACCCTTCGCTTGTACAGAAAGCCTCCATTTCACCTCACACGCCTCGTCACGATGTCCTCAGGTCCAACCAACCCTCTCTCGACAACCTAGGGCAAGAAGTGGTTGAACTCTTCACAGCACCAATCACTCCATGGCGCATGTCACGAATGTCGGGCAAGTTACAACGACGCTATCTAGAGAAGCTACACTGCAGCACCGAATGTATGCTACCATCATTCAATCATACACTACCTACAGGTCAGGAAGCCGGTACATACCTAGTGCTGGACGTGGGGGGGTCGACCTTGCGTATAGCATTGGTAGAGCTATGCGGAAAGTCTTACAAAACTAAAAGGCTCAGGATAATACAGATGACTGTTTCGCCGATCGACGATGTGGTCAGGCGGTTACCAGGAGCATCCTTTTTTGATTGGATCGCCGAGAAGATCGCAGACATGCTGGCAGGTCGTTCTGAGCACAATGGCCATGATGTGGAACCTCTGCCGGTTGGTCTGTCATGGAGCTTCCCAGTCGAGCCAACCTCCCCCTCTGGTGGTAACATTCAAGGCATGGGCAAAGGCTTCTGCTGCGCCCAAGCTACCCTTGGTCACGACCTAGGAGGGCTGATCACTGCAGCCTGCCGAAGTCAGGGGCTGAATATTCGCATTGACGCGCTCGTCAACGACTCGTGCGCCACGCTCCTTTCACGTGCATATGTGGAGCCCTCTACGACTATGTCCCTGATCCTGGGTACAGGTACAAATATGGCTGTTCACCTTCCAGTTTCCTGCCTTGGTGCATCCAAGCTCCAGCACCGTGATTCGACATGGCTGTCGCAGGCAGAAAGGGTTACCATCAACACCGAAATATCCATGTTTGGCAAAGACATCCTGCCTAAGACTCGATGGGACGATCTCCTCAATCGGAGTCATGACCTGCCAGACTTTCAGCCACTGGAATACTTGACCACTGGCCGCTACCTGGGAGAGATACTACGTCTTGTCATTATTGAAGCCGTGGAGACAGCTGGCCTGTTCAAAGGCCGTTTTCCATCCTCCCTAATGGGAAAGTATTCGCTGGATACCGCAGTGTTAGCCGTCGTTGAGGGTGACAGCTCGCGCGACCTTAAGAAATCAAGCGCCTATCTACAAGGAATTCTGTGTCTGGACTCGCCTCCTACAGCTACAGAAATGACATTCCTTCGTGTGGCTGCCCAGTCGATCTCGAAGAGAGCAGCCGCCTACATTGCAGTTGCAATCCACGCACTCTGGGCTGTGGAGAGGAAGGTCGGTGCAACAGGAAGCTCCAAAACGACCATTGCTTGTAATGGCACTGTGATTGAAAAATATCCTGGGTTTAGATCGCGGTGTGAAAGCTACATCTCCGACATCATCAAGTATGATGCTGAGGGAGGACAGGCTGATTCAGAGGTCTATCTGGAGATGGCTGATGACGCTGCTATACTGGGTGCTGCTGTTGCTGTGGCTATCGGGGAGAGCCGGCGTTGAAGGTGGACAGTGGAGTCAACGCGTAGACAATGGCACCTGGCGAGGTGTCTTTTGGGTGGCATCTAGTAGCCTTTTCTAGATGGCATCGGACCAGTGGCTCACGCCGCCTGAAAATGAAAATGAAAACGGAGAAGGTTGTCTGGCCTGGCAGTTCTGCTCTTTTTTTCTTCCTGCCATCTGTGCTTCCTTAGTACAATTACCACAGTTCACAATGATACGTCATGCGTCAGCTTTCGTGGACCAAGACCTGCTATACTTGATATGCGCTAGTGTACGGCTCTTGGAATAAGCTTAAACGCCATTACTACGTACTAGTAGTACGTGTAGTAGTACGTGGTACGTATGCTAGTAGTTAGCGTCATTGTTCAGGTCAGCATCGAGTCTTCGAGAACAATGATCGTTCAAGTAGACCGTCCTCAGAGGCGGTCTTGATGTATCACCATGCCTTCCCGTGGTCTTCTCGAGCATATCAAGTCTTTTCTAGATGGCTGCAATGGCAACCACCGAAGATTCCCTGAAATGGTCCGCCCAATATCAGGTTGCGCGCTCGGATCGCACGGCGAAATTGCAAGGCGACAAAATCACACTGCCACAGTCTGCCCTTGAAGCCCTTCTTGCTGCTGCACCAGTCGTATCCATTGGCAAGGACTCCTCGACGCCATACACGTTGACCTTTGACCCTTTCAATCCTTACACCTTTGCTGCAGAACGCGAAGCGCGACAGCAGCTCAGTGACCGGCAGCAGCAGCTTCCTCACCCACTGACTTTCCGGCTCGTGAACCCGCAGAACGGTCGTATCGTATATGCTGGCATACGGGAGTTCTCCGCAGAAGAGAATCAGATAGGGTTGAGCGGAGTGCTTCAAGATGCACTTGGGCTGGGAAGCGGGTCTTCAGCTGTGACACGAGAACAGACACCAAATGGAGACGTTGAGATGGGTGGGAGTGACATTTCAACACCACAGGTTATCACTGTTCATGCAAAGCAGTTGCCGAAGGGCACTTATGTCCGATTGAGACCGCTCGAGGCTGGCTACGACCCGGAAGATTGGAAATCGCTATTGGAAAGATATCTACGAGACAATTTCACAACCCTGACCAACGGCGAGATCTTGTCCATCCGGTCTGGACGGCGTGAAAAGTATCAGTTTTTGGTCGACAAGCTTGAGCCGGATGGAGAAGGAATCTGCATCGTGGACACTGATCTTGAGGTGGATATCGAGGCATTGAACGAGGAACAAGCGCGAGAGACCTTAAGCAGAAAGCTGGCAAAAGGCCAACATGCTCCTGGCACAACAGAAGGAAGCTCTGCAGGAGGCGCCTTAATCATTGGCGACCAACAAACCGGCCAAGTTCTTGCTGGAGAATATGTGGATTACGAGCTCAAAATGTGGCCCAGGGATGGTCAGGGGATCGACTTTGATCTTGAAGTGGGCCTGGATGAGGCAGAGTTGGACCTCTTCGTCAGCCCATTCTCGTTGAGACAGAGAGCAAAGCCGAGGGACGATGAGCACGTCTTTGGAGATTTCAGTAGTCGTTCTTCCAAACGCATCCGCCTGTCAGCTACCAATGTTGAGCTTGAAGACGCTGAAACACTTTACGTCTCTATCCATGCCTATAGCGAGAGTACAGAGCAAGATAAATCTTTACCACCAATACCTTTCGTTCTTCGCGCCATAGCGGCCAATTCTGAAATTTCAGACAGCGACAGCATCGACAACACCGCCGGCACTCCCTCCGTAGACGAATTAATCTGCAAAAACTGCCAGCAAACCATCCCCAAGCGCACCCTTCCCCTCCACGAAGCCTTCTGCTACCGCAACAATATCTCCTGCCGCAAGTGCAACCAAGTTTTCCTCAAGAACTCTCCCGCTTGGAAAACGCACTGGCACTGCCCGCACGATGCCTCCCACGGCAACACCCCGCTCTCTCAACGCAAACACAACTCGATCTACCACCCTCCAACCCCTTACCCATGCCCCGGCTGCTCCTCCTTCGACGCCCCAACACTCCCTTCGCTGGCCCACCACCGCGTCACCCTCTGCCCAACCAAAGAGATCCTCTGCCAATTCTGCCACCTCGTCGTCCCCCAGCAAGGCCCCGATGACCCCTCCTTCACAGATCCGGAGGTCCTAATGTCAGGTCTAACACCGCACGAACTAGCCGACGGCGCACGAACCACCGAATGCCACCTCTGCAACAAGATTGTCAGACTACGCGACATGAAAACCCACCTCATGATCCACGATCGAGACCGCATCTCCCGCCCCAAGCCGCGCATCTGCCGTAACGCACTCTGCGGCAGAACCGTCAAGACAACCAAAGGAAGACACGTCGTCCAGCAGCTCGGCCTCTGCGATGAGTGTTTCGGCCCCCTGTACGTCACCTCCTACGACCCGGAGGGCAAGGCTCTGAAGAGACGCGTGGAGAGGAGAATGCTCCAGCAGCTCATGGCCGGCTGCGGGAAGACGTGGTGTCGGAACGCCGAGTTCTGCCGCACAGCCCGCAGCAACATCAGCGGCGAAGATAGGGGCCTGAGTGCCAAGGAGGCCCTGCCGCTCGTTAAGCCCGTCATCGATCACCTGGATAGTGGGGATTCGTTGTTCTTCTGTGTGGATGAGGCGAGTCAGTGCAGACGCGAGATTGCGAGGCTGTTGGCGGAGACGGAGACGGACGCGGAGTATGAGCCGGAGTGGTGGGTTAGGGCGCTGGAGGAGGTCAGGGCTGGCACGGGTTCGGAGGCCGAGCTGGAGGAGAAGGTGGTGAGGGCGAGGGAGTGGCTGGGTAAGAATGCGCCGCGGAGGGGGGAGGTGGTCAAATAGGAAATCGAACGAATAGATCATGATTTTGTTGGGTGGGAGTTGATAGAGAAATTTGATAGAATGTCATGCATAATTCGCTAGAGCTACCACTTTGAGCGATCGTATCGATTCAGTCCGTCGTCGTCTATTCCACGACTAACAGCGCAAAAGCCATCGCACATTTTGCTATGATCATGTCTCGTCACGGATATTTCCGTCCCTCCCCCCTCTCTGACGCCCATAACACCACCCCAAAAACACTGGTACCTCACGCACCCCCATCCACATGCCATCTCTATATCTACCGATGACTCGCCTTCCCAATCCCCCTCTTGCCCGAAAACAAATGCTTCGGCAACGCGCTGGTGGTATGGCGATCCGCCTCACCCTGTCTGGCCATGCGGTTCATCTTCCTCTGACTGAGCTTGGCCATTCGCTGCGTCTTCTCCCTTTTGGCCGGGTCCGTGATGCCCGTCTGGCCCTTCATTTGCAGTCCGTCCGTGAGGCGGTTCGTTTTGGGGGCTCGGGACAATGAACGCAAACGAGCGGAGGGCGTGTCGATGTCCATCGCGTCGACACTGTCACCGTTGGTTGTTGGGTGGGCGGGTGCATTGCGGATTTGGGCGCGTGCCCGAGCTGCGGGGCCAGAGGCATCGAGTCCGATGGAGGACATGTGTTTCTCCATTTGTGCTACGGTTCGGGCTTTCTTTGCTCGCGGGATGACGGCGCGGTTTTTGAGTGATTTTCGCATCTTGGCGTCGTTCATCATCAAGGCTCTCTTCTGCCGTATCAGGTCGGCTTTGGTTCTCAAGTCGGCTTGTTCTTCGTCTTCCATGCTATCGCTTTCGTCGTAGTATCCTTCCGCTTCTAGCCGTTCTTCTTCGGCTTCGAGCTCAGTGAGCTTGGTCTCGATGTCTGGATCCACGAAGTCTGCTACGTTTCTGCCTCCGAAGAACTCGGGTACCTTGTCGTGATTCCAAGATGGGTCTTCCAGGTCATACTTCTCTTTTAGGTCGACATTGTATACACCTGCACCACCGTTTTCTTCTTCAATATCGCGGGCTAATCTGCGGCGATCAGGGTCGTCTTTGTCATATTTCTTCAAACCACCATTCTTAACAGCATCGGGAATGTAGGTTTCACGTACAATGCCACCCAGTGGCTGAGCGACATGGATTCGTGCCAGGAGATCACCGAGTCGACCCGTTGGTGTCGATGCATCAGCTGGCTGTGATGCTTGTGCAGACTTCAACTTCGAGGCCACACGATCAGCGATTAGCCGATCGCATGCTGCGTTTTTTACTTCTTGAATACCTTCAGAGGTGATGCAGGATAGTTGCAGGAGTTCGGTATTCGAATTTGATGTTACAAGGTCCTGGAGTTGTTTTTGCACTTCTGGCTCAAGGTCTTCCGGTTTGGTGACATCGATCTTGTTGATCACGATAAAAACAAGTTTGTTAGCAAACAACGGTCTGATAGACTGAAAAAGCTGAATTTGTGCCTGAACAGAGTAGCCACACTGCTCGCTGAGATCCATGAAATAAAGAATAGCAGAGCGCAAGTGTGCAATCGCAGTGATCGATTGCATCTCGATTGTGTTCATTTCTTCTAACGGATGGTCGAGTATACCGGGAGTATCAATCGCTTGGAAGCGCAGGTATTTGTAATCGAAATGTCCAACAAACAAGCTCTTTGTTGTAAAAGCGTAGGGTTGAACGTCGACGTCTGCTCTTGTGATAGATTTGAGGAAGGATGATTTGCCGACATTGGGATAGCCGCATATCAGAAGAGTTCTCGTGTTCGGATCAATGCTCGGTAGACGTCCCAAATGTTGTCGTACTTGCTCCAGGTATACCAATGCTTCACGTAGTCTTCTGCAAATTGTAGCCATACGGCCCAGAGCGGCCCGCTTGAGAGATTTGCATTGAAAGAGTGATTGCGCATACTTCAGCAGTCGGACATAATCTCTCGATACTGTTTCGATCAGCCTCTTGGCTGTCGCGACTTGTCCTAGAGCAATCTTGAAATGGTCGGCATCGTAAAGGGTGTTTAGAAGGTCTTTGTGGAAGGGGTGTATATCTTGGAGCCGGGGGAAGCCATCGAGTATGGCTTGGAATTTCTCGCAAAAGGTCTCCGAGGTGTATTTGACCTTTCGAGTGTAGAAACCTGCAAATGTTACATCAGTAAGTTCTTTGACTGCGCAGTTCACAAAGGTTACAAACTTCGAATCCGAGTGATTTTGAAGCCTGATCTTATCTGAGTGGGGAGCCTGCGCTGCGTCCGCGACAGAACGATATCAATAAATTCCTGGCTCGTTGGTACGGGCTGAATCTCCTTCCAGGTCGTCTTCATCTTTGCGTACACCTGAAGAGGCGGATCAGTCTGCAAGACCTTGTTGTCTAGATGCTGTGGTAAATCATGAACTTCTCTGGTCGAAAAATGTTTTGCGTCTAGGGAAGCTTTTCGCGGCTATGCCAAGACGCTACATTCAGCTGGAAAGTCTAAGCGGCAGAGGAAGCCTCCAACCACTGCGATGGACCAATTGGTCCTCCATACTTAATGAAGCTTCCATTATCCAAGTATCTCTAGAGAGGACTCCCTTTAGAAAACCAAGCAGCAATCTGGAATATAGAAACATAGACTAAGCTTAGGCCCTCTGCATAGTCGAGCTCTCACACTATGCCAGGCATACGTAGTAGAAATCTCAGTCCGTCAACTGTGGATCATTTTTGCTGACAAGACTCAAAAGTGATGCTTTTGGATTAGCGAGCATACCTCAGCTAACTTTCAATACATTGGTATCAGCTGGCATGACGATGTAGCCAGGTACATGTGTCTGTCCCAGCACCAAACGCCTCTCCTGGTGGCTTGCATATTTCCGCATTGCAGAATTTTCCATATGTCTGTCCGCCAGTTCGGTCAATTCTCACTTCACAACCTCGCCCTCTCCTCTCTCCTCCAGCCCGCCTCCTCTGCAATTATCTCTGCCGCCCTCTCGCCGATTCCCAGCACTGTCAGCATCGGGTTAATAGTCGGCATCAGCGGGAAGACGCCCGCATCAGCGATCCTCACGCCCTTCAACCCCCTCACCTTCAATCGCGAATCCACCACCGCCAACTCATCCTTTACCAGATTCCCCATCTTCGTCGTTCCTGCCGGATGATACACCGTATGAGCCACTCTCCGTGCATACTCCGAGATGTCCTCATCGCTCTGCACTTTCTGGCCCGGAGCGACCTCACGCTTGATCCAGTCCTTGAAAGGGGCTTGTTGGGCAACTTTGCGTGCAGCTTTGATGCCAAAGACGAAGGTGGCGGCGTCGTAGCCTTCGCGATCGGTGAAGTAGCGGAAATCGAGGGCTGGTTTTACACTGGGATCATTTGAGGTGAGGTAGAGGCGGCCTCTGGAGCGGGGACGCGGGATATTAGGAGTCATGCAGAAGGCATCTATGGGTTCATCATATCCAAGGCGGGTGGTGTTGAGGCAGAAGGGAATTTGGTAGCAATGCATCATCACGTCCGCAACTTGACCGTCAGGAACGCCTTGAGGATTGAAGGCGTTCGCGGTCGATGCGGCATCTGGAACTTCCCGGCGGAGGAAAATGCCGGCATCAGAATCCATGGTGGTCTGGTCGACAGGTACGGGTTTGTTGAGTTCCCAAATGATGATCGTTTCCGGGTGATCCATCAGGTTCTCGCCCACACCAGGAATGTCCCTGACAACCGGAATTTCTAGGTCTTTGAGTTGTTTTTTTGGGCCAAGTCCTGAGAGAAGCATGAGTCGTGGAGTGTCGACAGCCCCTGCACAGAGAATGGTTTCTTTTCTGGCTTTGAGGCTAAGGTTTGAGCCATCTTGCAAAACCACATCGAGACCACTAACTCTGTCTCCTGATACATTGATCTTGGAGACCCATGCATTTGTGAGCACGGTGAGATTTGGGCGCCTCTCATCGCCACGGAATATTGGGTGGAGGTAAGCGACGCTTGCACTTGATCTTCGACCATCATCTGGATTGTAACTGACTGAGAAGAAGCCGACGCCTTGACTTAGCTGTCCCTGTTGTTTGATCTCCTTGTTGAAGTCATGGATGACTGGAATATCCAAGGCCGAGCTGCAGGAATTGACCCAGTCCTTGCAGAGCTGGTTTCTGTGTCGACTGTGTACTGGCTGAACAGTATTGCGAAGTTTGTCAAGAACTCGCATGAAAGTCTTGAATGACCAGCCATCACAGCCAAGAGACTCCCAGAGCTTGCAGTCATATTCGAAGGGCCTAAATGATATTAGAGTGTTGTGGGATGAGCAGCCACCAAGAACTTTGGCTCTTGAATGGCGGATGTACGAATTACCTGAACAGTGTAAGCAGAGATAGCCGGGCGGCAGGAATGGTAAGCAAGAGAAAAAAACATGATCGATCAATACTACTGGTGCTCTGGGTATACAGCTCAGGATGATTGCATTGGGCTGAGATGACAAGGAGGTCCTACCCATTGGCTGCTCGATAGTACCGTAATCGTAGTCGAGCTCTCCACCGAGTAGGTTAAGCCAGTCCTTGAGGTAAAGCACACGATCGTCCATGTAGTCGCTTGGGCCAGCCTCTATCAACAAAATTTTCGCATGGGGCAAATACTCCGAGAGCCGACTTGCAATAACACAACCTGCAGTGCCGCCTCCAACAATGAGGTAGTCATAGCTGTCTGTATTGGAGGCAGACAGATGAGTTGTGGTCATGGTGAAGCTCAAAGGGTCAAGTCACACACTGAAATATGAAAGGAAGGATGAGCAAAAGGATGTTGAAATGTAGCCTTGTGCAATTTCAGCAGATATGTCAAGCCACTCCCCTACACATTGAGGGTTTGATGTAAACAAGGATCAAGCCGGCGGTAAGCATTTCAAACTTCGTAGACTTGCAGGTAGCCTCTTATACTATGGTAGTAAGTACTTGCCATGCCCCCAAGACTGGGCGCTTTGAAGTGTTCGGCAAACCATCACGAGACCGGGCAATAGTCGAGGGAATTTCGTTCATCCTTGGGGCTGTTGTTGGTGCCGAGCAGAATTTTCATTGGCTCACCCCTGCTTTCCAAGTGGATAACATTGACAGCAGGGATTAAAAGCTGAAAAACTTACTCACTCTTTGTTCACCCTGCATGAATCTTCACAAGACCAGATTGCTGATCTTTATGCGATGGGATTCTTTACTGCCGTTGTTCGGAGGTAGAACATTTTTTCTGGTGGCACGACAGTAAGCGAACCTGCGTTGGCGTGTAATGCTCCTGCCATGTCCCTGGCATGACTTGCAGCTTTTCATCTAGACACAGATTGTTTCCGGGCGGGGCATTGAGAAGCACATAACCAGTAGCGAGATCCTGCAACTGCTCGTCAAGGACAAAAGCTGAACATGTTGGATATGGCTTTCGATGCAAGACATGTCTATTATGATGGCAAAGTTCAGCAATCTCACGGTGATGTCTTTCGGACGATTGATCCCTCTACTGGCAATACCCTAGCAGACATACATTCAGCCAATCCCACCGATGTAGATGTCGCAATCTTCTCCGCATCAAAGGCCTTTCCATCATGGTCCTCTACTCCGCCAATGGCGAGGTCCCGGATCCTGCTTAAGGCAGTCAGTCTTCTCAGGGAACGAAATGACGAGATTGCCAAGCTCGAGACATCAGATACTGGGAAACCCTTCTCTGAAACAAGCACGGTAGATGTGGTCACTGGTGCTGACGTGGTCGAGTACTTCGCGGGACTGGTCGCAGGCGGAGGTCTGAACGGCGAGACCATTCAGCTGAGGGAAGACGCATGGGTATACACCAAGAAGGAACCTCTCGGTGTCTGTGCTGGTATTGGTGCTTGGAACTATCCAATCCAGATGTAGGTTGTTTTCTCTGTCTTCTATGTTCGTCGTTGACGTGGACAATCAAGAGCATTGTGGAAGTCAGCTCCTTGTCTGGCGGCAGGAAACACTATGGTGTATAAGCCGAGCGAGGTGACTCCATTGCATGCTCAAGTATTAGCCGAAATCTACACCGAGGCTGGACTACCACCGGGAGTCTTTAATGTTGTTTATGGCGCAGGAGATGTGGGAGGTTATCTGACATCACACCCGAGAATAGCTAAAGTCTCTTTTACCGGCCAAGTGGCAACAGGTAAGAAAGTGGCTGGCTCTGCTGCAGGCAACATGAAGTACGTGACCATGGAGCTCGGGGGCAAAAGTCCTATCATTGTCCTTCCAGACGCTGATATCGAAAATGCCGTCGATGGTGCAATGATGGCAAACTTCTTCAGCACAGGCCAAGTATGTACCAACGGCACCAGAGTCTTTGTCCCCGAACCAATGAAAAGTGCTTTTGAACAGAAACTGCTGGAGAAGATGCAGTACATTCGTGCGGGCAATCTCTCGAATGCAGAAACAAATTTTGGGCCTCTCGTTTCTCGAATGCACTATGAGAAGGTTATGGGCTATATTTCTCACGGTATCAAAGTGGACAAAGCTAAATTGCTCTATGGTGGTCTAGAAAAGCCTGAAGGGCTGCCCGAGGATCTCACCAATGGTTACTGGGTCCGGCCTACCATTTTCACGGATTGCACAGATTCCATGAAGATCATCAAAGAAGAGATCTTCGGTCCCGTGTTGAACATACTGACCTATAAGAACATCGAGGAAGCTGTTGAGCGAGCTAACAACACGGAGCTTGGACTAGCAGCCGGAGTCTTTGGCAGAGACCTCAACATGGCCCACAAGGTCGTATCCCGACTTGAAGCCGGTATCACCTGGATCAACACGTGGGGTGAGAGTCCAGCGGAGATGAGTGTAGGGGGTTGGAAGCAGAGCGGAGTAGGCGTGGAGAACGGCCGCCGAGGTATTGAAGCCTGGGTACGCAACAAATCGACTCTCGTTGACATGAGTGATACAATCCAGACGGTATTTGCCAAGCTTTGACCTCAAAGCTCTACTAAGTACTACTTAGTAATGTGCGGGCAAGAAGGAAAGAACAATATGCTGTATGCTTAGATGCCTGTTCAGACAGAGGGAATTTTTGGCTACAGCAGCAGACTTTGCTGGCGATGTATCAATGAGGGAGGCTCTGTCACTCCTGGGCCCTCGACGTCTGTCTTGCTGCAGTCACAGCAACACTACATTTCTGGCCAAGCTTATGACGAAAATGCTACACGCTACCCACTCCGTGTGACATTGTAGATATCTCGAAGACCACTGTACATGGTCATTGTCCGTACTACAGTGCCAGCAGCAGTGTGGCATCCACTGCAATGGTGTAGTATCTATGCAACTCTCTTGGCATGGCTCTCTAATTGGCAGGTCTCCCGAATGCAACCCTCCCTCCCTACTAGTTAGTACCACTATCCCAATCCTTCCGATCCTAATGTTACTACTCCTTTGCTGAGACACGCTCACGGTCCATACGACGTTGTAACGCCTTTAGTGCATCGTATTTGCCAATGGAACCTAATGGTATTCGCGGTAAAATGTATCCCAGTCGGACAATCCACCGCTAGTGTCTTGCTGAGGAATGGTGGCCCGGAGCCCTAGAACCAAGCCAGCAAAGCCATGGCTGTGGTGGACCGGCCTTCCCTATTACGGACCGACTTTGACAGGTCTGCCATAGCTCTCCAGTTTCCATGCTTTCCTTAATGCTGACCATTATATCAGGCAGATTGGCCAGCTTTTCATGGTGGGCTTTGATGGCACCACTGTCAATGACCAGATCAAATCGTTGATCGAGGACTATCATGTTGGCTCCGTTCTTCTTACAGCCCAAAACTTGAAATGTGCATATAATACGAACCATCACTCGTGGCATCGGGTTTGCTGATACTGTGTCCACCAACAGCGGCAGAACAAGCTACGCGGTTGGTCCTCGATCTGCAGAACATCGCGTACCAGGCAGGTCACGAGATTCCCCTCTCCATCGCTCTCGACCAGGAAAATGGAGGATTCAACAGTCTGTACGATGAGGTCCACATTCGACAATTCCCCAGCGCGATGGGCATGGCTGCTACACGCTCAACGAAATTGGCTAAAGAGGTCGCGAAAGCCACAGGGCAAGAGCTGTGTGCTGTCGGCGTGAACTGGATTCTTGGCCCTGTCCTGGACGTCCCGGCAAATGTCAGAAATCAATCCCTTGGGGTGCGGACGATAGGAGACGATCCGCAGGAGGTATCAAGGTATGGAGTTGAATTTCTCAAGGGCTATCATGAAGCTGGTCTGGCTACATGTGGAAAGCATCTCCCCTCGTACGGGGACCTTGAGGTTTTAGGCGCTCAGACAGACGTGCCGATCATTGCCCAATCGCTTCAGAAACTGAGTCAAACCGCTCTGAACCCTTTTCGGACCACAATTTCCCAAGGTCTAGATGCCGTGATGGTTTGTGGGCTTGCTACTATTCCGACCCAGGTGGATGTAGTGAATGCTTGTATTTCGGAACATATCGTGCAGGTCTTGTTACGTACTGATATGCATTTCCAAGGTGTCGTGCTCTCCGACTGGTCGGAGACGGACGCCCTCATACACGACTTCGGAGTTGAAAGCAGCATAGTCATGGCTTTTAGAGCAGGCTACGACGTTGTGTCCCTCTGCGGGTCCTTCACTGTCCAACAGGGAGCTATTAACTGTTTGAAATTGGGAGTGGAGAATGATACCGTAAATAGGCCCAGGATCGAGCAGTCTATGCAGAGAGTTCTTGACTTGAAGTTAAGATGCACCTCGTGGGAGAAAGCACTGAATCCAGGCGGTATCGACCATTTGATGCAGCTGCAGCCATCACATGCCAGTTTGTCATCGGCTGCGTATAACTCATCGATCACCGTGGTTCGAGATCAGAAAACATTTTTGCCACTTTCTACACGGTTGGACACAGAGCGAGAATTGCTCTTACTGACCCCGCTACTCAAACCTCTACCTTCGTCAGCGGCACATCAAAAGTTAAATGCAGCACCTGACGGTACAGCCTACGACCAGACCTCAGTGTGGGACAGCAGCTCATCTATCATGAGTGGGGAGCGGATTTTCCAAGAGCTTGGGCGAGCTATGTCGCGTCAGCGCAATGGCCGAGTTCTTCATACCTCGTATACCGCCAATGGTCTCAGACCAATACATGAAGATCTAATTGACCGCGCAGGTGCGGTTGTAGTAGTGACGGCAGATGCTGGTCGAAACCGTTATCAAAATGGATTTGCCAAACACGTTTCGACGATATGTCGGATGTCCTCAATCAGCAATGGAGACGGAACAGAAAAGCCGTTCATTGTGGTGTCCGTCAGCTCACCTTATGATTTTGCATTTGACCAGTCAATAGGGACCTACATTTGTACTTACGACTTCACAGAGATTGCTTTGCAGGCACTTGTAAGGATACTATTTGGCGAATTACAGCCTATTGGTGCTCTTCCTGCGTCGACCAAAAATGAACAGAAATTGCAACAGTCAACCCAGCAGCACTGGCTAGTAGAGAACTGGAATGAAGAAAGAGACTCTTATCCTCTGGAGCTTCTACTCGAGTCCGTGCGAGGTCAACACTCCTCTGATCCAGAATCGATACTGGCGGGTGTCTCGTCGAGGACCTTCCTTCTTCGCTGTGCCGATGTCGAGGAAGCACACTTCATTGTCCGCAATAGCAATACGAAAGAGCTTTATGGTTTTTGCTCGACCTATTATTTCATTTCTACCGCAGTTGGTGCGATTGGCTCGATCATTGTTGATCCCAATAAGAGGAAGCTGTCCATCGGCCGTTCACTTTACCACCGAGCAATGCGTATGTTAGCGCAGAAGAATGGCATCAAAAAGTACCAGTTAGGGACGCGAATACCTAATATTTTCCTGGGCATCCCAACTGTTGATACGGCCGAACATAGAAGGCTTAGACAATGGTTTGTCAACATGGGATGGAAAATTGCGAGCTCGCAAATGCGATTGAACATGATTTTACGCAACCTACCAACATGGAATCCACCGGACGGTCTGAGCCACACTCTGTCGAATCCGGACATCAAATTCGATCTTGTCTATGGAATGGGTTATGCTGAAGCTGTCCTTGATCATGTGAGAACGCACTCGACCACAGGTGTCTACGAGATCTACCAGCTGGCGCTGGCCGACAAAGCTTCGTGTGGCATCATCAGAGCCAAAAGACCTGAAGATGGCTCCATCTTAGCAAGCCTTGTTCTCTATAAGAGTGACTCAAAGTTGGCCGGGTTTGTTCCCGCACTTGGTGATAGCAAGGTGCTTGCCGGAGGCATATCATCACCAGTCATTTCGCCGTCAATCAGCGATCCTGCAAGCTTGATGCAAGGACTTCTCCTTCTCGGTATTCGCCAGATCAAAAAGCAGGGTGCGAACGCCATCGTCTTGGACTGTGTATGTGCCTTGTCCCTTATTGGGGACCAAGTTACTGACTGTGATAGATTGAGAGTGATAAAGCCGTGGGAAACCTGGTCGCCCTAGGGTTTAGCACCCTTCACACTTTTGAGGAAATTACTTGCGAAACCTCTACTTGGGCCATGATTTCCTAGGAGATCTACGCTGGATCTTTGAGACTTATACTTGCGTGATCACTCGAGCTATAGGGCACCATCCGTCTCTGTTGGTCGCTACCCATGATTAGAAAATATTGGATTGTCAATGTGACACGGTTTGAGCGAGGAGCTTGGAAAGCCGGGAGATGGTTCTGTCTAGGCACTGCTTGGTACTTTATTAGTAGATCTGCAAGTCAAAGATGTGTTATTAATCGTTTCTGAATATCTATACCACTTACTTGAGGAGACGGTTATACTACTGGTATGTAGACAAAGACGTGCTCCGTATGCTTGATGTTTATTTGCTCGAGACCTATGTAGTTCCTAAGTAAGCAGACTACTAATACTTAGCAGGAAGAGGCCCCCTTATAATGATGCTAGGGGAGCCATTAAAGTGCGCTTAGACTAAGCCTAACCGTAAGACTGCTACAGAGGTACAAGGATACGCAGCTTAGTCATCTGTTATCCAATGAAATCTTATTATCTACAACGTATTTTGCTGAAAATGTTGTCACAGTATGGTCAAAATATGCTTCTCTTGAGAGAATGACTGTCATTTCCAGGTAGCAAATACTAAGTCAAGCAGTACACTTGGCGCCAACAAGGCCCGGGCAGGATTCTCATCCCGTTCAGCTACGTGGCTCTTTGTTGCTCTTCAAGTTCTAGAAGCCATTCCGAAGTTCGCGCCAAGCTGACCTGTCTCATCTCTCGTCTCCCATCTCTCATCTTATCTCATCATTGATCTCTCCCCTCAATCCATTACCGAACGATATAACTAGCACTGCTACTAGCACCTCTACAAACACAGCTCACTTACTCATTACTCTTGCTCTCTCGGTCAGGCTTGCGGCCCGCTCCTAATCTTGACCTCTGGTGGCTGACCAGTGGTCATCAAGTTCTGTTTAGTGGGTCGGCCAGCCATCCACCATCCACCGGTCTACTCCGCATCCATCCACCTCCAGCTTCGCCAAGCTACTCCCAACCATTGCTTCCATTTCCAGACCAAACCTTGGCCATTGCATCACGTCGTCTCGGCCTTAAGCGGGAAGGAATTACAAGTCCCTATTCCACGGTCCATTCTTGCACTCAGATGCAACGTCTTCCGCTGTAGCGTTATTCCCCGAGGTGGAAACCAACGTTTAGCTTGGTCAGATGCGACAAGAGGCAGTTCAACACATGACCTCTCTCACTTACGACCGCGCAATGGACACGATGGATACGATGGATACGATGGACACGATGGACGGCTTTGACCCAATGGATATGTCCTACATGGGCAATTCAATGCCAGTCGGCCTCCTATCTCATACCGATTACCTACAGCCGAGCTCGGGGTTGGATATGCAGGACAGCTTGTCGAATTTCGACAACGAGATGTATCTGAGGTCAGGAGCCACCCGGGTCCGTTGGTGATCAATCCTTTTCTAACACTACTATCCTAGTGCCGAAGGCTTGACCTTTGCACCCTCGACCAGTATTGGGCACCCCATCCTCAAGCGCTTTTCAAGTTCGTTCGATGACGCTTTTGGTGACCCAAACACTTCCCAATTCGAACAGGGTTTGCCGGAACAGATGATACCGGAGAGTCCTTCGCTAGATCGAGAAAACAAGCTGTTGAGCTTCTCAATGCCAACCTACCATTTCACACTGCTAGACTCTTCTTTACGAAGGACGTCTTTGAACATGACCGCACAACTGCATGGCATGTTCTTCCTTGCCGAATCACAGTGGCCTACCAATCCTGATGCGATCCCGCCTCCGCCCGAGCTGACCTGTTATCGCCGCAATCTGTTTCAGATAACTGGAACAGTCACTCTGCCAAGGAACTTAAGGTACATCATGACTGACCATGGTGACCGGATACCTATATTTACCCAGGAACTAACCGTATCAGCTATTGAGTCGGTAGAAGGCAACCCTGTGAGGATCATTTCGGTTCCTTGGAAGAATGCCGCGGGCAGTGGAACAAATACAGAGGACAAAGTGGAGCGAGAGCCCCCTTCGATACCTCTAGAAACCATGAGTAGCTCGGACTTCGACACAGATTATGCCACCTTTCCCATCCAATGGAAAAGACTGCAATTCAGGATAGCAACGGCGAATAATGGTCGCAGGAAAGAGCTGCAACAACATTTTGTGATCAAGTTAAAGATTATGGCTACGCTATCCACGGGGGCCAGATATTCAATTGCTGAAGCACAGTCTGGAGCCATCATCGTTCGAGGACGAAGTCCTCGTAATTTCCAGTCACGAAAGGACCTTCCGCTTAGCACCAGTGCTGGGCTATCTCGGAAAGGTGTGGGCGCTGGAATGAGCCGGACCTCTACTGGTGACAGCGTACCACAAGCTTCGACATCGAAACCCGCTGTATCGCCTGATGAAGTAGCTCAAGTGGTCTTTCCCCAACAAGAAAGCCGTGACCTACAATCTACTACCGCCGAGCTGAACGAATGGACGCAAATGTCACATCCAACCATTCCTGAACCTCTACCCACACCAGACTACGCAAACTCTATGGGGCCACCTCAGCTTCCACCTTACACCAATTCCAGCCCACCCGAAGTCGCTTCAACGATATCTTTCACAAATCCTAACATATCCGTTTTGAACGCCCCCGTAAGCCTCTCATTCTCAAGCGACGACGAAATTAGCCCTGTCGCTCGTTCTGCGAGACCCTCATTACCACGAGCACCAACCTCCAACCCCTCGTCTTCTCTACCAAAATCGACCAAATCGCGCTCCGCCCCAATCCCCTCCCCACCTCCGCCGCCCCTACAAACCCCACCAAAACAGCGTCCGAAACTCAATTCGCAGAACACGTCATCTTCCTCCGCCAATAGCTTTAAACGGACCTCCAGCACTCAAGAAGCAAAAAGAATATCCACAGCCTCGTCAACAACAAGTCCAGTCCAAAACGATGGACCAGACGCAGCAGACACGCTGTATGAGTATTTCCCGCTAGGTCTGGATGATTGGATGCCACCCGTTGATGCAGTCTATCGGCCACATGTGCATCATCACCAACATACCAGTTCTATACAGAAAAATAGTATGTCGGCAGAGACGGGTTCGGCGACCTTGGGTAGGGCGAGAAGTAAGAGGTTGCTTGGCGCTGACGACTGAGTTTTGGATATGGGGATGAGAGGTGCTGCGACGGAATGTCGCAATGAGTGAAGGGGATCAAAATTTCGTACAAGTTACGGATGTGGATTTTTCTTTCAGCGATCTTTCAGCGACTTTTTGACTGATTGACACTTGGCTGGCAGTTTCTTGGGCTGAGTTGGGTTGGATCTGGACATGATTTCAATTGGGCTTCTGCAAAGGGAAAGCAAGAGAAGGAATAAATGATCGGGCAGGCGTGAAGCTGGTGTATGTACAATAACGACGTTGACGGTAATGACGACGACGGGTTTTCAAGTGCTGCAGCAAGCGATGAGGCGATCTTTTTTCTCTCTCGCATATTGCCGTGTGGTTCAGCGGGGCGGGTTCCCTCAATGGATAGTAAATAACTCGGCAACGCTCACGATGATGATAATGGTGGTGATGGAACGGTTTGTCCTGTGTATTCGAACCACGATTCGTTCCAGTCAGCAATGTTTGGTGATTGGGTTCTCGTCTGGTATTCGATATTCGATTTCTCGTGCCCTCTTTTTCTTCCCCCTTTTCCAACTCTGTCTCTCTCTCTCTCCCCCCATCCATATCCAAAACCCCTTTGAAACTCGCACTTCACTCAATTCGACCTCCTTAACCTTTTTTTTTT